GATTTATAGCACTGCTGTCAAGTTTAGCAATATGTCTTTTAGGTATCTCCAAAACGTTGTACGCTGCCTTCATAAACTCTTCACTAGTGGAACTTACAACTGTACATGAAACGGAAATTTCGCTAAACACTCGCTTATTCTGTATTAGCCGACTGAGCTTTTCTCTACCTAGTTGCCACGGACTTTCTACATCACTTTCTTTTCCTACTTGGTAATAAGTATTTTCACTAATTCTTAGTGTCATAATATTCCCTTCACAAGCGCTGATTCCAAATGCATAGACTTTGATAGGTATTTTCGAATGTGTAGATAACTCTGACACAAGGTTGTTATCGTATGGTTCTTTTGATAATGTGATTACTGCTATAAGTTTGGTTGGATTTGATTGAGGGAAGGCCAGTAGTTCAGCGAAGAGCCTCTTTCCGGTGAATTAATTTTCATAGCTTTACAATCGCAAATATGAACGGGTTATTTTATGTGTATGTGTACATTACGTTTTTCAGATGTCTACAGTTAGTTATGGTTATTTTAAAGGAGGTAGGGTGGCGCTAGCTGATCAGTAGATATGGTGGTGGTCACTAAGGTGAATCACCCCATTCTGCAGGAACAATAATATGCAATTTGAAGGCTCGAGATATTTCTGATTTTTATGAGGGCTTAGATCTTTATCTTGATAAAGATAATAATGAACGCCTTGACAGATCATGCTTCTAACTTTAAATATATACCATTCGCTCAGCCTATTGTTGAGATGCGACCACGTGGGATCTGCACAGATTTATGGGGCATCTTATAAACTAACTTGCTATCCATTGTCAGATCTTTAAATACCACTTCACAATGTCTTATCTCACTTATTTTCTAATAACGTCTTTACTTGATCCTCATTATATTCCATTAAACCTAACATTTTATAGCTCTTTATGAATTTGATTCGACTTGTTCTATTCCTTTTCTCTGTAGGGTACGGTTGTGCACCAAACAGACAAAAAAGCATGAAATAAAGACAACTGGCTTGAAAATAATTGTATTAAAGCCAAAAGTGGACATCATGATAGTACGAAGAATAGTGGTTTTATTATACATTGCAAATGAACGTTGTCGGCCTAAGGATTAATTACTTCCCCATTCTGTTTTCTATATATATGTGTTTATTAATTATATATTTCACTCACTTAATCTATTACACTTTAATGTTTCACCTTAGCACTTTAACTTTTCTAAAACAGCTTTCAATCCCTTGTAAACGTTGTACTTACCTCAATATTGGTTGGTTATCGTATGCCTACAACCACGGGATGAAAACGAAACGAAGTCAGTTTACCCGCCCAACCTGGAGGACAACTGTACAATTCAATAACTATACAGCCTGGTTCAGACAATGAGTGTAATTATATATATATAACAAATATTTAACTGTTGTAACATTATTAACTTGTAGACAATTTAAGATTTGACATTATAACATACTTGATCGTGCCTGTAAAAATGGCATGCATTTTCATGTAAATTTATGTTTATATGAAAATAAAATTATTATTATTATAACTTAACAGGTGAGAATTATTAAGTTTTAGGTGGAGTTACGTAATACAACATGTATTTAAAGGAATTGGGTGTCGATATAAAAGTGTAATAACAAAAGTGGTGAGCTGTCGCTAACGATTGTTAAGGAAGAGTTACGTAAACAAATGAATAGTTTGATGAAAGAGTTGTGCTCAGGGTGTACATGGAAACGGACTAACATATGGAACTACATAAGAGTTTTAAGTAGTTAAACAACAAGCGAACGAGCTAAAGTTAAGCAGAGTTGTTACCATGATAGTAGAAGTGGCTGGATAATTTTCTTTTGTGTGCATAGTTCCGATTCTTCTGACTGAATAGCTCGGGCTTCTGCAATGCAACGAAGACGGAAACGTGTTGTTGTCGGCAGGTTGTTCTTCACTTTGTAGATTACTTTGAAGGAATGAAGATGGAATGACCAGCAATGACGTCATGTTCGATTACTGCACCGCACATACGGCCACTACTTCCTTCCTTCAGCCACTTTGGATAGTGTTCTTTGACCCTTTTTGACAGGATGCGCGTCGTTTGACCGACGTACTTGGTTCCACAGCAACAGGTGAACTGGTATATACACATAGAAGTCGTCAGGTGAGGGATGTTGTCCCATGGACTTTTGCAGAACAGCGGCAGACTAAAGGACACTACTCTCAATGTTTCCTCAAAGAAAGTTCTTCTTAAAGAAGTGGAAATTCTCCTCTTAAGGATATAGTTAATCAGGTCACCTTTGAAGTCGAATTCATGTAAAGAACCTTTTCTGGCACAGATGGCGTCTGTTGTTTTTGGATTTTCTGTTTGACGCTTTTGTCTATGAGTTTTGATGCATACCTGTTTTGAATGAAGATTTCTTTTAGGAAGTATGGTTCTTCTTCTAGAATATCAGAGCTGCAGATGGGTTGGACGCGAGTAGCAAGAGACTTAATTGGTACTGATTGATTGGTACCCAGCTGTAGAAGCTTGTCAGCTGGCCGTTCCATGTGCGTTTCCTATAGATGGACCTTCTGAAATTTTTATTAGCTCTTCTTATAAGTTCAACATCAATTTTTTTTGGATCCGCTTCCTGTTTCAAGGGCAAACTTCGTTGAATATTTATAGTAATTGATTAAGATAGTGACCATCACCAATGATAATGATGTCGTCCACATATTCGGCACAAAATTGGAAACTATCAATGTTTGATTTGAGTGAGCGAACCTTGAGGTTTGCCGTGAAGCAGTCTGCCAGTAGTGGCATCAAACGTGTTGTCTGTAAATATAATCGTTGAATGTGAACTGTACGTTAAGTGTGCATCTCATTAGTAGTTCTTTTAAACGATTTGTCCGTAATCTGATGTTCAGTGGGTTTTCGCCCATACAGTGACAAATGTGAGTGGAACGTTGGTAAATAGTGACTCAATGTCAGGAGGGAGCATATTTTGTTCCTTACATTGATAACTTGTATACAGTCGACGAATTCAAAGGTGTCACGAAGAGGATAGTGGCACATCTGTCTTCGTACGGACTCTAAAATATCAGCTGACTATTTTGCCATTGAATGGTATCGGGAACCTCACATACCTAAAACTGGACGAAGTGAGAGGCCGGCTTCATGTATCTTAGCTAAGCCGCATAGTCTTGGTAATATAGATCCTGCCAGTGGAATTTGATCATGAACTTCATAACTGGCTAACTGTTCAGTTTTCATTCTTCTAAGGACATCGGTGAGTTGTTTTTCAGTATGTTCTGTTTGATTTCTTTCATTGGGTGGTTGCGAGAATTTAGTTTTATCTGACAGTATGTTATTATTTTTCATTACGTCTTGATTCTACACCGTATTTTCGGTACAAGCATGGAATATCCCAAATTTCGCAGGCCGACCATTGATATCAGTTGTGCGTCGGCGGGGCACCGAACTCCGTACCATGTGCATGGTCGGCGAGAGTCCTAACCACTACCATAAGGACCAAGCCAGCCCCTTTATCTGAAAGGGTTATTAGAAGTTCTTTGTTGTGTTTCGGTTGATTAAATCCTCCTCTGTGCTGCTTTGTTAGGTGGTTATAGACCTTTGGTTTTGTATTCACATATTGATGACAACAGTCGATTATTGTTGATTTGAATCTCTGTAGTCCCTGTTCAGAGATTGAAGTTAAATCATTCGTTTGGGCGATTAGGTTTTTAAATTGTACATAAGCATGAAGTCTGTTGACATTCAGGTTGATGTTGCAAAATTTTGGACCAATGTATAGAACTTCTAACTGCACGTCGGATAAAACAACTGAAGAGTAGTTAAATACGAATTTCGTAGGGTAATCAGGACTCTTTTTGGGTGCTTTGATAGATTTGAGGCTTCTTGTGAGTTGGGATATAGTGGACTGCGACCGTTTTTCAGTGACTATTGACGTATCCTGCAAATCACGAAAGGCCGGAGAGCTTTATGGAATGTTGCAGTGCAGTTCTGGGATACGTGCTTTGATGGAGTCAGCCAGTTTATGTACAGGACGTCGGATAGACTTTGTGTTAGGACATATATGATTTCTTCTTGGTGGTTTCCAAAAACGTTTCGGACATTCGCGATTAGTGCTACAATCAATTAAAAAAATTGGCTTAGCGGGTGCCCCGCGGTCCCCTTGGCATGGCCAAATCCAAAAGAAAAAAAAAAAAAAAAAAAAAAAAAAAAAAAAAAAAAAAAAAAAATGTCGAATTCGCTGACGCAAGTTTGACAGAGTAACGTAAAAACCCATTGAGCTCCCAGACTGTCAAAGCGTCCTTGCTACATTTTAGCTAATGAACTAAAATGTAGCTAAGATTTAATTTTTTTGATTACAGCTTGACTTCACACCGTATTTTTGGAACTAGTTTGGAATTTTCAGCATGCGATATCGGTGGCCCAAATTTTGCAGGTCGACGATTGATATTTTAGAGGTTGACTGATATCTCGTACAGCAACTTCTAATTAATTTATTCTCGCGTACCAAAGACAAAGCAAAAGCCAATAATTGATCGTCCAAACTTCGTAATATATTTCGGAACCAAAGCAAACCGTCAGACGAACGCTTAGCTGGCTAGTGATCGTGCACGTGACACGACGGGGTAGCAAATGGCGGGGATGCTTGACCGGAAGCCTTCAGCTAAACAAGTCGACTTAAACAGTGGTGGTCAGCATCCAATGAGTGATTGCTGTGGTCAATAATTTTGGGGAATTATTTACCGCTACAATATCAGGTAAGTATCTCATTTTTAACAGTGGATGCTTTTGGCAAAGATTATGAGTCTTCTGTCCACTTTGATCGCTTTCGCCCAGCTTCATTCACATGGTTTTATTTCACAGGAAAATCCAGGAAAATTGTTGATAAGATGAGAGAAGATGTCCAGAAAGAGTTCTAGAATCCAACAGGTGACTAAGATCACTCCAGAGAAAAAACACTCGATGTTTTCTTATTTAAATATTTACGAGTTATTCTACAATACTAGATCAGCCTGAATGTATTCGAAGTTCCTAGCCGTATAGGATACTCAAGATAGCGGTACATATCTCTCGTGCGTTACACTCGTTTAGTGCGTTACAGAGGTTTGCGTAAGTGCAGTTTTTAGAGCTTTTCGCTAATATAAATGCCATAATACGATTCATATTTAGTGTTCTATAGAGGGCTTAAAGTTATTTTATTAATTGTTACACATTAATGAACTTGTTCTGAAGTGACTGTGATAACGGTCAACTCAGTTGTTTCACAGGCTTTAACAGATACTTTCACATGGACAGTATGATATTGATAGATCTGAGATCTGTTATATTTGATTTCTATCGGTGTAACATTGTTTAAATTTCGCCTTATAAAATGTAAATCTGTGGTGTACATCCGTTATTTCTACCTACGGTATAAGCTTTATCAACACATTGTCAACTTCACACGGTTATTCAATTAGTAGGTACACCACATTAATGTATGTTTTTAGTTAACTGCACTACAACTAAATATCCTTTCGATGTATGACCAAACTGCTAGAAACTGTTGTATCCTTGTAAAGAATTATCTTTAGATGCGAAACAATTATTATTTCATGATTGCGTCCATCTGCTCCTGCATTACTCCTTTCTAAAACCCAATACACTTTACTTTTTGATTGTGTATTGCATCCAACCTAACGCAAAACCACGCCTGTGTAAGATGCAGTTAGGTGTGGAAACTTGGAGTCCTCTTATGTAGTACTAGGTTATGTTAATATCGTCTATCCGCTTATATCAGCAATATCTCTTACTTCATTCACAACCTCAATATGATGTACTTATTATTTACTATAGCTTGTTGGGAACTTTTTTTGAGTTTTCAAATATGTGGAGTGAATTCATAGAAGCAATGGACCTAAGTTTTGTTCACTCATCGATTTGGAGTGTTTGTGATTATGAAAAAAAAACGATTTGTATTATTAAACTACCTCTGAAAGCTTTCATCACTGCACTTAGAGAACTACTAGTAATAGTGTACACCAGACTGCTTTATAAAAGCATTTACAATATTGGATGGACGAAGTTCAACAATAGCGTCCCGGGAGTGCGAAGGCTCCAGTGATCTTGAATGCATACTAGTCGTTGGCTAATGGTACCTGCCACTGTCATAGCGGAAATATCAACGCTATTCACCAACTAAGCAGCAAATTTCACTCATCACGTTTTTAAGTGCTGTTTCGATAATGTGTTAATAGGTCGTCAGGGTTAGAATTAAGGTTAAAGTAAGTATTGGGGTTAGAGTTAGGATCAGGGTCATACTTAGTATCAGGGTTAGGTTTACGGTTATGATAAGGGTTGTAATTGGAGTTAGTGTTAAGTTTAGGGTTAGGGTCAGGATTAAGTATATGGTTACGCCTAGGGATGGATTTAGAGTTGATGTCATTTGTTCTAATGTGTTTTATTATCCTCATTTTCCTGATTAGTCGTCTATTCTCTTACTGAAAACTATAGTAGTTCAACCGAGGGCTTTGGGGAGAACTGCACAACAGGATAATAGGGATAAACAATTCAAAAAAACGGCTCATCTATAGTCACCTTGGTGAATACATGTACAAAGACCAGTCTAACTTAGCAGCTGATACTCATAACTGGGCCGTATTTTTAAGTCATGTCAGAAAAAGATCCCCTGTTTAGTGTGTTTTCATACATTTTCTTGTAAATATACGTCATTTCTTGTGCAAAAGTCACTTATTTTTGTGATTGGTCGGTTAAAGGTCATTCGTGCGTTCGCATCCCTTGCGACGCTATTGTTGAACTTTGCCCTTTCCTGTACCTCACTAAGTATGGGTTGTGACTTTTGGTATATGTTGCCTAGAAGCAGGGGATTCGAGAAAAGGTACTCTACCAGATATTGAAATGTTGGTCTTAGTGTAGAGAGTGTTGGGCAAAGAGGGAAAATCAATCGACGAGGCTATAAAGTTACATAGACTAAGATGGCTAGGTCACGTGCTGCGCATGCCTAACCACCGCCTCCCCCGACGGGCTTTGCTAGCTGATATAGGTTCAGGTTGGAAAAGAGCCAGTGGTGGCCAAACAAAAACATGGCCTCATCAATCCATGAAATCCTTGACAGTTAAACTGAGTCAGGTAGGGAGATGCAGACTCCCGGGTTGGGGCCCTCGGGACTCTAGGAATCAATGGCTGGAGACAGTAGGTGACATGGCTCAAAATCGTTGTCAATGGCGCAGATGTATTCAGTCTCTGTAATCTTTCATATTCCTTTCTACTGCATTACCCATTCTGTTTCACTCTTATACTTGTCAGACTGTATTGATTCTCTTCACTCATCTTCTTGTCTACCTCTGTGTGCTATTTGGAACGTGGCAACTCGAACTGCTGCAATTCGGTGCCAAGTTCTATGTTGAATCCAGACAGACAGTGTAGAGACTAAGTGAAACCGTGTCCACTGTTATACATCCTCTAAGGTGGTGGTCGTGTTAGCAGTGTGTTATTGTGTTATTTTGAGCATTGTTGGGGAATGTTTTGGGCCACCGAGATAACAGGAATCAAACGTTGTGGAACACAACTGATACAGAAAGTATGCATTTAAAATTCTTCATATTTCTTGAATTCTCGATTCGCTGAACTCAAATCTTCTTTGGAATTGTTTGTTAGTCAGGTATTCCCGAGAAGTTTGTTGATATCCTGAAAACTACTTCCCAAAACACTTCGGATAGTTTGAGGGCACATAAAAATCTATCACTTCTCAGGCAGCGGTGTGATTAGACAGGGTTACCTATTCTCACCATTTCTCTTTAATTTCGCCATTTATGATATTTTGGAGACAACCCTGGAGATGCGTTGTGTTATTGATAACATGTTGCCGGGAAAAAACTGCTTAACTTTTAGTATGCAAACTATATTGTCTTGTTGTGGGATAATATATAGACTGATCAGGTCGCACTTAATTAGTTGACCAATGTGCTACACTCCGTCTAAGTACAAAGTACTTTTGCGAGGTTGACTGGAGCCTGCACCTGCATTTACCCTTGCAGATGAACTGTTAGAAGCAGTAGATAAGTCCATGTGTCTAGCCTCTTATGTCATTACTGACTGTGGTGGACAAATTTTCTAATCTAATAGTGAAAGCAGAATGTGTATGGATACGGTGACAATTGTCTTTCAATAGGTGTTGTCATTATGGAACACCGACTTTGACAATCTAAACATATACTACGAATGTCATTCCATAGGTTCTCATACCGTTCACAGTTAACCAGTGCTAAGACTGAGTGGCAGAGGTGGAGTGGTCATCATAGAAAGTGGTGTTATGGAATAAAGGATAGTTGTGTTGATTGGCATCTATTGATGCATTGCTGCTTCCTGGGTAGGGTCTGAGAGATAATCCGAATCAGTGTCTAGAGACGTTATCAGATATGATGGAGAATCGTAGTCAATGGTGAACATGCTTCAGCTTTCTGTTTCTTTCTGGAGACAGTATGAAATAATGCACACCGTAAATGCTCCTGAAAAGTATCCTTATATATTTTCAGGATTCTGCTCAATCTTTCTAGTTCTTTCCCATATATTGTATTTCATTACTTTTTTCTCAGTGCATCTCTTGATGCCCATATTATACTAAATTTGTTTTTAAATAAAATTAAATAATGCAAAATACAATCTTTCATATGCCCACTTTCTTGTAAAACGCATTTACTTCAAGTATTAAAACGCTTAATATGTTCATCTTCGTAAGTGTACCACTAATTCCTCCTAATTTTCCGTGTAGTAACCTCATTTTCTTTCGATTGACTTATTCTTCGTATGGTTTTGTTCGTTGTTATTCTGAAGTCATTTAGTTATCAGGTCTTAAGTTGTCTTGTCGTGCTTTTATAACCAATGTCTGTCTAGATGGTGCAAATACACTGTCACTTCATTTTCAACTAAGTTTCGAATGCTTTGTTACTTGGTTATCACACCTAGTTTGTCTCAGTATCTTTTCATTCATGTTTATATTTTAGTCTTTGTACTGCTTCAAAGTATAGGACATTGTCGAATGTTATGTATGTTATGTTCACCTTAGCGTATACATGTATGCTATGCTCTCATTAGCACCGGATAGACTGTTTCCGATAAATAAATATAATTTGAACAAGGAAAGGACAAACATGTTTGTAGGATACAAGCTCGTCTTATTCTGTGGGGATTCTTTCTAACTGCGTTTATCCCAAACAATATGCAAATATGTTTCAAAATTTCTGAACATACTTTTCTCACGGTGACGTCGAGTTATCGATAACAAGTAAGTATAGGCAACATTATTCCGAGATGATTTAAGTAGACGAGATATTCAAAGACTAATTATTTACAGTATAATTAAACAAGATGGGGTGGGCAGAGGTTAGATTTTGTTTAGAAACACGTAAATGAGCTCGCATTGTCCTGCTAATATGTTCCTTCTTTTTTGGTCAAACTAATCGACGGAACCAATTGTGTGAAATAATTATGGTGTTTTGCATGAATTGGTAATATGCGTGTAGTGTTTTTAGAAAGATAATGAAATCACCTGTCGATTTACTAAGCTCTAGGTGGATGTAATTTCCGTCAAATTTTACTGGAATGGTTTGTAAAAATGCAACTCATTTGCCGAAGCACTTAATTTCTTGATACTTGGTCTTTGAATCACGGAATATACACATTGGGTCATAGGAGTTATTAAGAAAACAATTGCAGCGAAGAAAATTTTCTTTTCAACGAAGTCATCATCTAGGCTGTACATTCGTGTATTTATATCAAGTGGATGGGAAAGTTCCAGAATAATTTCCGGTTGAGGGTCAAATTAATAAAAATTAAAATTAGGAATTAGAATGCCATAATAAACAGGGGGCTGGATAAAACAAACCAAGTAGCATCATAATAACTAAGAAGATTGACATTGTGCAATTAGGGGTTAAAAATTTAGAGAACAATAATAATAACTTGGTCTTTGATTAAAGTTCCTCTCCACCTTTGCTTGAGCGGTGGCTTATAGTACAGTACCAGATAATTTAGTAGTATCATTTTTCCTGTATTAAACTGATCTATTAATTGAATTTATAATTATAAGTTGTTAATGCTTCCCTTTAGTTGCTCACTATGGAAACTATCCTCGAACAACAACGTCGATATCATGAAGAACGGGAAAGACTCATAAATGAGTTAACAAAAGAAATGCTTTATCATCCTACTACAGTAAGTTGTATACCTATGTAAATTAAGTTTTAGCATCGTGAAAAATTGAATTCAGAACTTCGACTAAGACTAATGTATGATGTAAGTGGCGACTTGTCGTATTTTATGGTTTCAGAGGTACTTTGATGTGACTCAAGATCTGAAAGATCTTTATGAAGATAAAGATGGGTGGGTTTATTTCTAATTTACTTTAATGCGATTTCCTGTAGCCTCCGTAAGGCTGATATTCAAACTCTTTCAGGTCCAAATGAGTTCAACGAATTTTATGAAAGATTAAAACAGATCAAAGAATTTCATCGAAAACATCCTGGAGAGGTAATTTATATTTACTTAACATACCTTATTATGGAATAAGATATCCGTTCCAATGTCTGTTGAGTTTGAGAAATACAAAGAAATGCGGGAAAAGCCTGAAGAAGCAAATGCTGTCCTAATTGATTTTTCAGATGAGGAAGGTTATGGTCGTTATCTTGACCTACATGACGTGTATAAAAAGTATTTAAATGTTAAAGGTGTTCCGGTAAGTCATGTTTTTAAAATAGTAATTACTGCTTCCCTCCAGCGTATAGATTATCTAACTTATATCTCCTTTTTCGATCGGTTGTATGATATATCTCGTGACAGAAAAGGAATAGCATACAAAGCGTGAGTATTTTCTTCACAACTCTTATAAATCTTACTTACTAGTTACCTTGAAGATTTATTAGGCTATCTTGAGAACTTTGTATCGCGGGCTAGACCTATTGTGGATTTAGAGGAGGTAAGATAATTTTCAGAACGAAATATTACCCATTCAATTTCTCATTTCCTTTTTAGGAAACTAAGGAAGCACTCGCTAAATTCGAAACTCAATGGAGTCAAGGAACTTTTCCTGGTTGGGGTCGTGAAGCAGCCTCTGCCTTAGCTCATGGTGGGGCTCATTTGGACTTGACTGCTTTTACAGCATGGGAAGAACTTGCTTCGCTTGGACTTGATAGACTTAAATCAGCTCTACTCGCCTTGGGATTGAAATGCGGTGGGACCTTAGAAGAAAGAGCCCGTCGTTTGTGGGCTACTAAGGGGAAAGCTCTTGAAGAGTTACCCACAGACCTGTTTGTTACAAAGCAACGCGCAACGAAAGGTTTCGCTAAAACAGCTGCTTGGGGACATGTCCCTCTGTAAGTAGAATTGGTTTTTATTTTAATGAATTTACTTTTTTTATGCAACTATTAAATCACACTCTGCTTCCTTTTTTAGAGCATTGTCAGAGAAATTAAAAGAGGTTGCTGCATTAGAAGCCAGAATATACAGACTCAGTGAACTTGTAAGAGAACATCGAGAAGCCACTATTGAAAATGTACAACGTCGGCAGGCACGAATTGGATTTGAAAGAGATGAAGATGATACAGATGCGGATAAAGATGCTGCAGATGCAGAAAATGGACAGGATGCAGGAGAGGATGAAGATATCCCTTATAATCCGAAAAATCTACCTCTTGGTTGGGATGGCAAGGTAAGTTATTTGAAGTGACTTCTTTATTGCTTAATAGTCATCAATGTCTCTGTGTTAGTGTCAGTAATTGTTTTAATATGGCATAAATATTTGCGATAGATAAAAAGGTAGAATGTTTTTCTGTTTTTAGTTTTCTGCTTGTCTATTATTATTATTATTGTTCTCTTGGGTTCCTAGTGGAACATAGGGCTTCAACTGCACGTCTCCATTTGCTTCTGTCTTCTGCTGTACTTTTCACCTGCATCCATGTTAGTCCTTACTCTTTCAACTCCTCTTCACATGATCTCCTCCATGTCACCCTTGCACGACGTCCCACTCGCCGCTTCCCTTTCGGGTTCCACTCGAGCAATGGCCTGACGCGCGCGATGTCACCCAGCGGCCTCCTCAGCGAGTGAGTGTCCAATCCATCTCCACTTTCTCCTGCATATTTGTTGGTTGGCGATTGGTTCTTCTTTTGCTTGTTTGTCCATAGTTTCTTGTTGGTGATTCTTTCCTGCCGCCATCTGATCTTCAGTATAGAGCGAAGACAGTTGTTAATAAAGGTCTGCAACCTGTTGGAAATATTCTTTGTGACCGGCCAAGTTTCTGATCCGTATAGAAGAACTGACTTTACGTTTGTATTGAAAATCCGAATTTTGTTGGTGATGCTGAGTGACGAAGATTTCCAGATTGATTTCAGGTTGATGAATGTGTTTCTCGCCTTCCCGATTCTCGATTTGACATCCTCGTCCGCTCCTCCTGTAGTTGAGACAATGCTCCCTAGATAAGTGAATGAAGTAACCTCTTTCAAATCCCTCCCGTTGATGGTGATTGACGCTGGATGTTGTTGCTGTTGTTGTTGGTTGGTTATTTTCATAACCTCCGTCTTGTCTATGTTCACCTGGAGTCCTGTCTTTGCCGGCTGCTTCTTCGACCAGTTTGTCGGTTTTCGCTTGTAAGTCTTCGATTTTGTGTGACATCAAACATAAATCATCCACGCGCAAAATCCAGGTCTTCTAGGTTCTTCACGTCGGTCCAGGATACCTCTGTCTTCTCGTTTCCCACTGTCTGACGCATAATCCAGTCAGTCCACCACAATTAGGAATATCATTGGTGATAATAAGCACCCTTGTCTGACTCCTGTGTTTACTCCAAACGCCTCGCTGAATTTTCCGTTGTGGATCACTTGGCATGTGTCGTTGTCGTACAGCTGTTGAATAAGGTTGATGAATATTTGGGGTACGCCATAGTACTCGAGTAATTTCCAAATTACTTCGCAGTCAACGCTGTCGAAGGCCTTCTCAAAGTCTATAAAGTTGAGGTAGAGGTTTGATTGCCATTCCATGCTTTGTTCTGTGATGATGATGCGTAGAGTTGCAATTTGGTCAGTACATGATTTGCCTTTCCTGAATCCAGCTTGTTCTGGTCGGAGTTCTGTCTCCAGTGCGTCCTTTAATCTCTCCAGGATGATGCGACTCAGGATTTTACTTGGCGTCGATAGGAGCATGATTCCTCGCCAGTTCTTGCAGAGTGAGCCTAAGTCGCCCTTCTTTGGTAGTTTCACGAGGTAACCTTTCCTCCAGTCAGTAGGCACCTTTCCCTCCTTCCAGACCTTTTGCAATAATGGAGTCAGCATGTCTGCTGTCGTCTCTGGGTCGCTTTCAGTGCTTCAGGGGGTATTCCATCTGGTCCGGCTGCTTTTCCAGCTTTCAGAAGTTTGATTGCGTTCAAGACTTCAGCTCTCGTTGGAGGATTGGTGTCAACTTGCAGTTGTGTGTGCGCTGTTGTTGGTATTTCTGGACGGGTTGCAGGTGATGGTCGGTTCAAGAGTCCTTTGAAGTGATCCGCCCATTGTTTAATCTGTTTTTCTTCCTTGGTAATTGGGTTCCCTTGGCTGTCTTTTATAGGTTTCGCTTGTGTTGGTCTCTTCCCGGATAGAGATTTGGTTATCTGATATAGTGTCCTCAGGTCCCTTTTGCCTGCTGCCTTCTCAGCTTCAGTGGCGAGGTTGTCGTAGAATCGTCTTTTGTCCTTCCTAGCACTCTTCTTCACTTCTTTGTCCAGTGCTGTGTAAGTTGAGCTCATCGTCTCCTTCTCCTGTCCGTCCTTGCATTGAATCATTTTCTCTTTCACCATTCTCCTCTCTTCTATTAATTTCCAAGTGTCCGTTGAGAGCCATTCCTTGTCTTGTCTCTTCTTTCTTCCTAGAACCGTTGAACACGTTTCGTTGAGAATCGCCTTCAGAGACTTCCAATGTTCTTCCACGCATGATTCTTCAGTGATGTCGCGTAGTGTTTCCTGCTTTGCTCTGACAGTTGCAGTGAAGGTGTCTTTTGTGGTTGTGTCCTTCAGTAATTGAGTGTTGAACTTGCATTGTGGCCTATCCCCAGCTATCCTCGAGGCTTTTAGTTTCACCTTGAAAGTCCCTTCTACTAGATAGTGGTCTGAACCCACATCTGCTCCTCTCCTTGACCTTGTGTCCAGTAGGCTCCGTCTCCACTTTCTTGAAATTGAGATGAAGTCTATTTGATTCTTGGTGTTTCCATCTGGTGAAATCCATGTCGTCTTGTGTATATCCTTGTGTTTGAACACACTACCGCCAATCACCAAATCATTGAAGGCGCAGAAGTCTGAGAAGAGTTCACCATTGTCGTTCATTTCGCCGAGGGCCTCACGACCCATGGTGAGTTCTCTTCCTGTGTTGTCTCCTCCCAGCTTCGCATTCATGTCGCCCATCAGGATTTTGATATCGCCATTTGGGACGTTGTCCATTATTGCTTGTAGTTGTCTGTAGAACGCCTCCTTCTTCTCTTGTTCTGAGACGTTTGTAGGCGCATAGCATTGAATGACTGTAACTTTCCTTCCTTTTGAGTTGAACCTGGCTGTCATTATCCTGGAGGAGATTGGTTCCCACTGCATGAGAGCTTTGGCTGCTGTTGGTGACATCATGATGGCCACTCCCTCGGTGTGCTCATGGTTGTCCTCTAGGTGGCCGGAATAGATTACTGTCTCTCCAGTAGGTAGTTGGCACCTTCCAGTTCCGTTCCATCTGCTCTCGCAGATTCCCAACACTTCTATTCTGTACCTTCTCATTTCAGCGGCTATCTGGGCAGCCTTTCCAGTTTCGTACATTGTACGAACATTCCAGGTACCCATCCTTACTTTTGCTTTCATCGAAAGAAGGCACATCGGCTGACTGGCTTCCCGAAGGCTTTCACCAGCCTGTGTCATTTCACTTCCCCGATTCCAGCGAACCCATTGTATACTGGTTTCAAAAGTTCCTTAGCCACTTAGCTGCAGTTTGATGTTTTAAAGTTAGATGACATTGTTTGAGAAGAAATCCGATTATATTGACTGGCGGTTGCGCTACTTGTCACATGTAGAGAGACTTTGAATTTTATGGGCAATTGAATCAGGTTCCATTGGCTGGAATGGTCTACCAGCTTGGTCTGTAGCTGAAAGCTCCTGGATTCGAACCCCAGAGGGTGGGTACTGATGAAGAAACGGATGGGACAGTTTTCCAGTACTCCCTGAATTTCCAGTGGTTCTCTAGCTGATGTCGACTCGTCATTAGACCTGTAACTAATCAAGTCCCTGCAAACCAACATTTAAATAGATGTATATATGTATATATATCATGGAAATATCTAATTTTCTTTTTTGTTATTTAGCCTATTCCCTATTGGTTGTACAAATTACATGGATTAAATATGTACTATAGCTGTGAAATATGCGGTAATCAAACCTATCGTGGTCCTAAAGCTTTTCAACAACACTTTTCTGAATGGCGACATGCTCATGGTATGCGATGTTTAGGTATTCCGAATACAATACACTTTGCTCATGTAACAAAGATTGAAGATGCTTTAGCTTTATGGCAAAGGATAAGAACAATGAAAGAAGGTGAACGTTGGCGTCCAGAAGTTGAAGAAGAATTAGAAGATTCATCCGGTAATGTTGTTTCAAGAAAAACCTATGAAGATTTAAAACGTCAAGGTCTTCTTTGAAAATATGTACGCTGGGGGTGGGGGGCGGCGGAGAGGCAGGGAGGGTTGGTAATGACAACGAAACTGTGAAATTATCTTTCTCTTCTCTCATTGTAATAAATGTGTACACTTTCAGAATATAAACTCTTAACTAAACTTTATTATTTTTATTTTGGGAATTCAAATGTTTGATAGTGTGTTGTACTGTGTATTTGGTGTGATTGCCCTCATTGTCGGCTATTTGAAAGCAATATTCGCGTGGAAACTTCAAAGTAAAGGAAAAAAACTGCAAAGTTAAAAGCTACGCATATTGTGTAAGGGTTGATGGTACTACTTGGTCTCCTAGTCTGAAGTAGGGGGAGTGGGATTTGAACCCGCCACCCCCTTCCTGTAAGTTGAGTGCTTGAACCAATGAGCCGTAATAACTATAATTAGCATACGGAAGTAGTAAATTTAAATTAATCTCTCCTGAGTAATACGCTGTATGTAGTGCATCTGTGAAAATTTGACGAAGTGATATAAAGAGCAATAGATAGCTGTTTTCTCTCTCCAGTTATGATGTTTTCAGTGATGTTCAATCCTAGATCTTGTAGTCACTGATGAAGTCTACTTTAGAAGTAGTCAAATCTCAAGAGATTTCTAGTAACTGAATGATATTAAGAATTGGAATCCAATTATTTATTCCTGTTCCCCTGGGTTTCGAGTGGGACGTAGTGCTTCAACGGTACATCTCTACTTGGTTCTATTTTCTGCGGTTCTATTTAGCTGGCCCCAAGATTGCCCATAGTCTCTCATCTCCTTCTCGCATGATCTCCTCCATGTCACTCTTGGACCAAAGACTCACTCGTCGTTTCCCATGTGCGTCCCGCTCGAGAGATGGCCTGGCGCACTATGTCACCCGACGGTCTCCTCAGTTTGTGTCCGACACATTGAGTGTTAGGTTCTTGATCGGTTCGTTTCCAGAGTTTCCTGTTGTTGAATCTGTTTCGCTTTCTAGTTTTCAACAGAAATTCAATTACCAGATAATAAGTTTAAGACTACTAAATTATGGGATTGCTTTTTAAAAATGAACTACACAGTTATCAGGTGTTCAAAATTTTCTCACATTTTGATGTTTGTCAATACTAAAGTATGTCAGGCGAGTTCTAAACGTGTAACCTAACTAATGATGATAATAATAGGCCAATGTACAATCAAATCACATATTGTGTGAGGACTGGCTGAATTAGATGGGGTGGGACTTAAACCCGGGGTCCATTGGTTCTGTGTTGAGTCCTGTCATTATCACTACATATCTCATTGCCATTATATTGATTATATTACTATATTTCATTCTTTTTACGTTCCGAGTGACAAATAGGGTTTTGAAGCTAGAGCTCCGAGTTTCGGTAGCAGTGGTTTTATTTTGACGATATGGGGTTGCTGACCTCACGCCCAATCTTCCCCTGTCTACGAGCCTTACTACCAGCTTTGCGAGGTGTAGGAATGTGTCGGCAGGGATCGAAACTCAGACCATGTGCGTGGTTGGCGAGCGCTCAACCGCTGAACAACAGACGCACACATACATCTCATTGGAAATAAGTTATTCGTTTCAGTGATTCCCTCCGTGTAATTATTAAACAGGCTCTATAGAGATCTCTCAAAGTTTCTAGTCAAAACTGCATCTCACAAGAAGGAATCGATATTGATTGATATGAATTGTGGTCTATTTTCATAAAATATATAGATACCTATTATAACTGAGAAGTAACTGTACGCCTTTGTTTGTTATTTTGTTTTGTAGATTTTAAAATAGAACAGTTTTACAATTAAATAATGGAGGTTGATTTGCCAGATACAAATGAGTCTATAATTGATACCAATACAGACAATACTTCGGAATGTCAAGAAGCTCATCCAGAAACTGTCCAGACAATGGATACTGAAGAGACAGTTCCTACTGATTGTAATGATAATGATACCGTTAAGAAACAGGATGGTTCAGAGTGTGAAGTGAGTATTTCTCTTTTTTTTGTCTTTTTTCTCTCTATCCAGGGAATAAAGGTAACCATTTCGATGGCCATTAGGTAAACCAATCGGAGTTATTGTTAGAGATTTTTTTCCTTCACATTCCCCAGTGGAACATACGGCTCCAAGCTATTAGCTTGAAGTTTCTGTAGCAGTGCTTATTTTACAGGATGGGTTGCTAGCCTCATGCCCAACCATTCCTCTTTACCAGCATTATTTCTGACTCATCGAGGTGAAGGAATGCGTCGGTCGAGGATCGAACCCCGGACCATGTGCATGGTCGGCGAGCGTCCTAACCGCTATGCCACCGAGATAAAACCTACATATTCATCGTGATTATGATCAATTGATAAGCGAAGAAATAAATGTATACATGTTACCTGGTATGATTGTCTAACAAATAAATACACATACAGTAATAATAACAGTAATATCTGTCGTTGTAAAATAGTGTTGGAACGAAATGATTATGTATGGTATTATATTTCTAGACGAAGATAGACCATAATTTTCTACTGTGATCGATTTATAATCTGTAATCACTGATGCCAGCTGCTCAACTGAAATCATCTAAGAGAGTGAAGACTTGGCTTTCAGATGATGAGTCACATGTTCGAGGCCTGCTCCATTTAACCCAACCTGGGAAACTGGGTCGTTATCATGAACACACACACACAATAAATGTTACCTACACTCTGATACATGAAAAATATATCAGTTCTAAAAAGCAGGAAGCTTATATGTTCCTTTACATAATTTAAACGCAAACTCAGAATAATTTACTATTATGGTCTCCTCCTAAGCAGCTACTTTTACTCCGGACATCAGTAGTGTTGCTATTAAGTGACTGGCAGTGGAATCCAGGACGCCCCTCTTGTCCTGTTTAGGACTTGCCATCTGGATGTATCTGTATCCCCCCAGTGAGGGATGATGTTCCCACTGGGACTTCAACTACTGAACTATATTAGTTTCGTTCAGATAATTATTCAGATGTCTGCTTCGGTTCTAGCTTCAAATGTTATAAGAGTAAGAATTACCGATTTCAGGATTTCATCATGAGCTGGCATTAGTTTGAGAACCATTGGAAAACCTGGGAGTACTGGACAGCTGTTTCGTCCTAGTTTGAGACTCTTCATCAGTACGCACCCACCACCAGGGGGGTTCGACTGCAGGACATTCTGGTTACAAGGTTAGCGAGCTCGTATACCACTAAGCCACTGGGACCCGATCCAATGGCCCATGAATTTTAACTTCTGCCAATTCACGACATAGCGCGACCCCTAGCCAATGTCTTCGGCGAGTATTTGTCCTCACACCCGACCTGCTGCACCCCACTGGTCATGACTTCTCACTAAAAACCCAGGTAACTACCTACCTGAATAGGGCAAGTCGCTAGTGAGCATCTCATTGTTATTCAAGTGTTGGTTTGTTAGAAGTTAGAATTCATGGGCCATTGGATCGGGTCCCTGTGGCCTAATGGTATACGAGCTCGCCTTGTAACCAGAAAGTCCTGGGTTCGAACCCTAACGGTGGATGCGTACTGCCGAAGAGTCCCAAACTAGGACGAAGCAGCTGTCCAGTACTCCCAGGTTTTCCAATGGTTCTCAAACTAATGCCAGCTCATGATGAAATGCTGAAACTAATCAAATCTCTACAAACCAACACTTGAATAATTACCGATTTTTAAAAAATATTCTGATTGACTTTTCATTATTGGTTATATGGAGGGGATTTCGAACTCATAATTTACTTGTTCAAATTAAGTATCCGTATCAGTGAGTTACCATTACTAGCGGTATTATTGGTTTGAATATTGTTACAATCAAACTTTTCGTCGTAACACCAACCATCACTTGATCATACAAGTGATCTGATATTAATTACACATGGAAGCAGTTAAAACACTAATGAGAGTATGAGTTTTTTAGTAGAGGCCTTTGTAGGCCCTTACGACGACGCCTGTTGTAGAGTTTCTATGTGCCTCAGCAGCACACCTCTATTACACTCAGTTCTCTGTCATCACTTTTGGTTAGCTCCACGAATGCTCATAAGCTTTCACTTCCTCCTCACATGATCTGCTCTATGTCATCGTTGAAGATCTAACTCGTCATTTCCCATTCGGATTTCACTTGAGGGCTTGACCTGCATGCGGTGCCACTTGAATGTGTCCTCAGTATATCTCCATTCCATCTCCACTTCGGTGGAGACAGCTTACTGTCTGATAACTGAGGTACTAGGCAGCGTCTGGGAATCAGAAGAAGTCCCATCGGGTTGGTGTAAGTCACTGATTATCCCCATATACAAGAAGGGAGACAAGTCTTCCTGTGATAATCACAGAGGGATTAGCTTGACTAATATAGTATCTAAAGTCTTAGGCTCAATAATCATGCGTAGACTAGTGGTGCTCGGGAGCACAAACACGAGAGAGCCAGGCAGGCTTTAGACCAGGAAGAGGGTGTATTGATCATATCTTCACCCTCCGACAGATTCTAGAACTAGGCATTCCTACCGGCGTCCAACAGTCATTATATTTCTTGCCTAAAGGCAGCATTCGCTCTGTCGATCGGAAGTTCTCTGGAGATGCTTGGCTGTAAAGGGAATTCCGAGAAAATATATTGCACTGATTAAGGCACTCTACTCGTACTCATACAGCCAGGTGAGGGCTTACGGCGAGCTGTCATCTGAACTGATGACGACCAGTGGTGTCCGTCAAGGATGCCCATTATCTCCTTTTCTATTCGACTGCATCATAGATGTACTAATGGACTTAACCCTAAGTGACTTCAGCGACTCAGGGATTGACTTTCAACCGGGGAATAATCTCGTTGACTTGGAATATGCAGACGATATAGTCCTTCTTGGCGAAGACGCTGACGAAATGCAGAGTCTTCTACACACCTTGAGCCGCAATCTACGAATGTTTGGCATGCGATTCGCTCCCGCCAAATGCAAGATGATGTTACATGACTGGACTACATCGACGCCTAGTTTAAAAATAGGAAGTGAAGTGGTAGAGCACGTTGACCGCTTCACTTATTTGGGAAGTACCATCAGCCAGTACCAACGGGTTGATCTCTGACGAAATCTCTGCACAAATACAGGGGGCTCGTTTCGCATTTGCCAGTTTACGCCGTCTCTGGCGTAGACGAGATGTTCGACTATCGACAAAAGGGCGGGTGTACTGCTCATCAGTCCACTCCGTCCTCCTTTATGGCTGTCAGACCTGGCCACTGAGAGTAGAAGACATGAAAAGATTAGCTGTCTTTGATCGTAGATGCCTGCGTTCTATCTCCCGTGTGAAATAGTATAATAGGGTGAGCAAAATTGAGGTTAGGCGTCGAGTTCTAGGTAAACAGGGGAAGTCAATCGAGGAAGTCGTGAATTTACAAAGACTGAGATGGTTAGGACATGTGTTACGTATGCCCAGTCATCCCCTTCCTCGACAAGGCAATGTTAGCGGATATAGGGTCAGGCTGGAAAAAAGCTAGCGGCGGCCAAACAAAAACTTGGCACCAGTCAATGAAATCCACAACAGTTAGTCTAAGCCATGTAGGAAGGTGTAGACTTCCAGGCTGGGGTCCTCGGGACGGTAAAAATCTATGGTTGGAAACAATTGGTGACATGGCTCAAAACCGTTCTCAGTGGCGCAGATGCATCCACTCCCTGTGACTTATGATCTTCAATGAAACTGTTTTGTATTTCTTTATTACTCCTTTGTCTCACACCTCTGCTCACTGTTTCTATTATGCTTTTCTTGTACTTTCTTCTCTTGCTTCGCGTGCTACACGGAATGTGGCGACTTGAACTTCCGCACATTTGTGCAAAGTTCTATGTCGAAAATAGGCAGACAGACAGACCTTTCTTTGTGCTTATTTGTTGGGCAATAAGTTCTTATCTGGTGCTATTTCTATCTAGAGCTGTTTTCAAGTACTGATATGGCGTTATATTTTACAATTCAGTTACTCGAAAGATATTTATCCCTTACCAAGCTGTCAGCTACACTAAATGTATCAGGGTACGATAATGCTCAGCTTGTTAGGCTAAGGCGGATGCAGTGGGATTTGAACCCGGGAAACCCACTAGTTGGAAGTCGACGCAGTGCGTACCACTTATGTACTAACTCATGCAAAACCAAATCTAGGATGTTCAAACATTGACAGGCAGATACGTCACCATTTAACGATTACATTTAAATCTAACGGTTTATTGTTTTCTCTAAATTTTGCTATTTAACAATACAACAGTGTACTCCTCCTATATTCATTCTCTGTGTAATTACTTCCAAAAGTAAGAAAAATACTTTTAAGGTGAATCTAGCTATGAAGTGGCGTTTGTCAGTGAACCATTCGAAACCAACAAAACTGGGTAGCTTTTCTGGCCTTGACCTAGAATTCTTCACTACTGAGTACCCATAACTTCATCAGGCATCAAGCTATAGACTAGGTTACGCAAAGGATGCGTCGTTATTTAAGTTTTTGATTGTACTCCAACTGTTTATGAATCCTAACTCTGTCGACTGGCAACATACAACCAACCAACTTTACCGATTATCATTTGTCGTTATATTCAGTATTTTAAAATGATTTCTTTAATTTGAGAAATCATATAATTTTTTCTTTCCAGATGTTGTTAAATTCAGATGATAAGAAATCAACAGAAAATCCTACTCCTACTGTGAATGTCTATCGTCCTCCAGTTTGGGCTTTAAATTGTCCTCCAACTTTAAATTATAAACTGGAAGTTATTAAAAATGGTTTACAACTCACAGAATGTACAGTTAATCTATCCTCAACAACATCTACTATTGATTCAGAATCATCGTGTGATGATAATAGTTTAAGCTATTGTTTAATTGGACGTCAGCCACAACCATATTATGCATCATTCAATGATTTAACTGGACAGTGTATGACACTTGCTCATCCTTCTATAAGTCGATTACATGCTGTATTACAATATGGTAAACCACCGCATTCTGTTGGTAATGTTCCTGAAGATGAAAAAGATACTACTGGATGGTATTTAAAAGATTTGGATAGTACTCATGGTACTTTTGTTAATAAGGTTAGTGGTTTTTTTGTTTTTGTTTGTTTGTTTGTTTGTTAAAATGTTACAGAATGAATATTCATTCTAGTCAACACTCATCATCCACTTGTTTCGACTGTGTTAATAAACGATTCTTTCATTCCTTTGCTTTCCGAGTAGAATATGTGGTCTCACATCTGAGCTTTTGAAGTTTTAAAGTGTTATGTTGTACTTCCATGTAGTTGGCAATGAGCCACACTTATTGTTTGAAGGTCGATTATACTATTCAGGGCTGCTCAAAAGTCGGAGTGGGAGGCGTGGTTCGAATCTGCGATGGATCCATTGTAATTCGGGAACCTACACTAATGAGTGTCACAGCGGTGTTGTTTTTACAGGATGGGACTGCTGGCCTCCCACCCAACTTTTCCTCCTTATTGGGTTTACTACTGGCTAAACGAGGTTTAGGAATACAATGGCAGGGATTCGAACGCGGATCAGGTGTATGTGTGGCTAACTTACTACCGCTGAACAACCCTCGCACAGGATAATAAATGATACTGTTCCCGACTCTTTAAATGAACAGCAATCACAATCAGTTCACAGGTATTACTTTATCATATATCAGAAGACAGGATAAAGATAATTGTGAATACTGATGAAGTATTCTTTGAGGTGAGTGGTTCAACTGTGAAGTGCTGTTCGTCCTTCCAGACGACATCTTTGGCACTTAATTCTTTGTGAAGTGAGTTCTGAATTCTTTATGATTACGTATAGTCATATTTACTTATCTTCTAACTGATTTCAGTATATATGGGGGATTAGAGGGTGCAAAAGAGCTAGCGGCGGTCAAACCAAAACATGGCACCGGTCAATGAAGTCCACAAAAGTTAAAGCCACGTAGGAAGGTGTAGACTTCCTGACTGGTTGGGGTCCTCGGGACAGTAAAAACCAATGGTTGGTAACAATTGGTGACATGGCTCAAAATCGTTCTCAATGGCTGACTGGCGCAGATGCATCTACTCCTTGTGACTTATGATTTCCAATGAAACTATATTGTCCTTCGTTATTACTATTCCTATATCTGATACCTCTGTTTACTGTCTGTATTATGCATTTCTTCTACTTTCTCCTCTTGCTTTGTGTGCTACCCGAAGGGAGTGTGGCGACTTGAACTGCCGCACATATGTGCAAATTTCTATGTCGAAAACAGACAGACAGATCTGTAATTCTGAATACTTAACTGTAGCCGATGTGTAACACGTCGTGACAAGATATGGTAATGGGTTAACCTAAATTATAGTTCAGACCACATGACCTTGATAGTGTATTCAAGCACACTTAATGACCGGTTTCAATAACCTTGACCTACTTGAGGCTGACGAAATTTCCACATGGATACAAAATGGTTTATCTAACTTTTTACAAACTGTATCGCACTAAGTGTACAGAAAAGGTGATCCGATTACCTATTACAGTCTTAGGTTACTACAAAGATATGAAAAAAAAACAGGGTGACAAATACAAAATGGTAACAGGTATAACTGTCAAAGGATGAATTACAACTGTTGAAACTGCATTACCTGCTTCTTTCTTTATTACCTATTTTCCAACTTTGTTCTTTTTTTTCTGCAAATCATGAAGCGACGATTACCTCCTGGCCGGTATGTTCGTATTCGTGTTGGTTATGTTTTACGCTTTGGTGGGAGTACACGTTTGCATATTTTTCAAGGTCCAGATGAAGATACTGAACAAGAAACAATACAATCTTGGTCTGAGTTAAAAAAAGCCCATGAAGAGCGTAAATTAATGGCTCTTAAAGAAAAAATAGACACTTCAACAAATCAAAATTCACAATCTGTTAAACTTGAATGTGATTGGGGCATGTCGTGTAAGTTATGCCTTTTTTTCTCTGTCTTTTCTTTAATTTATGTGTAGAGTAAATACATTAGTTATAAGAGTTTGTTTTTAATACGATACTATTTTGAGTGAGTTATTTACTATTCTCTTTTGGCAACTTACCTTGAATGAGTTTCCTGCAGGTCAATTCCAGGTATTTAGATAACGTTGGTTATGTACTTTCTCAACATCTTATGGGAGTCATTATTTTTTAAATAGGCACTGGGTTCAATACCCACACTCTGTCTACCGAGGCATATATATATATATATATAGATATGATGAAGATTTGCAGCTCAGGGGAATGATTTTGATGGATTTGTGTTCTCTGAGCTGGGTGGTTCATTTTTGAAGCTTCACGAGTTTATAAGTCATCTCTCCCGGTGACCTTAGAAATGATTGGTCGTTTCTGTGTGTTTTCACACCCTCTAGGTTACTTGTATTGGTACTGATTGTTTCCTTGAGCTGAAGTTTGACCCTTTGTGTTTGAGCTTTCCTTCTTATCGATTGGTAATTTTTGTCCATGTCAATGTGTCTATTGAGCGACGATTCACTGGGATTCCAGGCAGGTTTCTAAAAGTTCCCTAGCATTCTTGGTGTTTCCCCTGCCTAATATTTGAGCGTTGTTCCAGTCGAATCGATATCCGCAATTGTCTGTATGCAACGATATGACGGTTTGGATGTCATGTATTTTGACGGCTAATTTATGATCATGGATACGAAGAAGAAGAAGAGAACGTCCACTTTGGCAAATGCAGTATTTTTCGCAGTCGCTGCAGTTTAAAATGTAGATGATGTTGGTTTTATCTTCTTTCGTTGTTGAGTCTTTTGGTTGATACAGGGCTGAGCGAAGTGATTTTGTTGGTTTGTGTGCGACTTCACTTCCTAAAGGTTTGAAGAGTCTTGCAGAAAGATATCTCATGGACGTCTTCCAAAAGAATGGATATCCGCGGAACTTCATCAGAAGGCATCTGCCACCGAACCAACCTACCATATCAAAGGCCCCCAAGGAAAGCACAGAGAAAATCACCCTACCATATATCAAGGAAATCTCAGAAATCACTGCAAGACTCTTAAAACCCTTAGGAATTGACGTCGCACACAAACCAATAAAATCACTTCACTCAGCCCTGTATATATAGTTATTAGTCATGCACCAATGAAGTACGAGTTGATTCAGTGTCTACAGATGGAAGCTTTTTTCTTTTTGGCTAATCACTTTCAGAAGTTGTACAATCGTATTAGTATTCAATAGACGAATTCATAAAACTAACCGAATCCTGGTAATTATGTTTTAGGAAGCGTTTTAATTAATATGAAGGATAGTCTGAAAGGGAATCAACAAGTGGGGATTGAGAACTGGAAGTTGGCAGTACGTAATCAGAATAAAGTGAATCTCATCTGAGTGTAAAGATTGGAGAAGTTAGTGGAAATACAAGAAAGTGATTGAGAGATACAGTGTTATTAATAAATAGTAATGTTAAAAATAAAACCAAAAAATATGATAGAAAACTAACTGATTCAGCTGTCCGAGCTTAGTCAAACCGCATACACTATTGATGAGCTCGGCCCTAAACGAGCGAAATGGTCATTAGGTGTTTAGATCACTTTGATATGGCTAGCAGGTACTACTGGTTCTTGTGAATGCTATCCAAGTGATCATGTCAATCAATTATTAGTACATAGCACCATGCAATTATACTTGCTTTCCTGATTGCCATTTATAGTCTCAAGCAGACCACATATTGTGATTTAAATAATTTCGTTGTCTTGAGGAAACTGGTGAAATTTTACCTCAATTTGTGGAAATCGCGAATTCGATACAAACTGAACGTCGAATGCTGAAATGTAACAAAATCTCGACACTAATGTCACCCTGGTCATGGTAGAATGAGCGATTGTAAGTACTGTTCTTCACCAGATGCCTGGTTTTAGGTCCCAAGTCGACAGTGATTTGACTTTGTATAGGCAACGTACTCGAGGCGATAATCGGGAGCTGTCAGGATTACTTTGAAGCAGTCATACATGTATGTCCGATGTCCAGAATTGATAGGATGCGCGAGGATTGCACTGACAATATTCTTTTTTCCCCTATGATTAACCAAGCTGGATAGTGTTCCGAAATATGTTTGCGGGTATGGCTCTATGTACGACTGATATACTTTGTTATACAGAACAATTAAAGTGAGGTGGCTAGGAGTAATATCTTGACCTTAATGTATGACTGGACTAGAGAATATGATTCTCAAGGTAGTAGCGTGAAATGTCAACTTCGGACACTTAGAAAGACCGTTTTTGAGGATTCAGGCATCGATGTCACTTCCAAATCTCAACTTTATGAGGAGAATTCTCTTAGGAACAGAAAGGTCTGTCTCATGGATATTCAGTTACACTTTATTAATTATTATTCCGAGTAACATACATCCATAGAGAAGTTGACGTCATCTTTTTACAGAATTGAATTTCTCACATTCTATTTGATACCAAACTCTGATATATCACTGTACATTGAATCTATGTACATTTTTATTAGTCTTAATTATATGAGTAGCATTTAAATTCTGTGTACATTACTAAATAGTTATATTAAGTAGGTGTCACTTTGAAACAGTACTATAGCTCGAGTCTTCTTTTATGTTTTTCTCGTTAATTCTTATTTTTATTATTCAATAAATTATCTAGTAGAAGATCCTACTCCTGAACCAATTCCAAGCCTACTTCAATCTGGTACTTGTTTAAGTCATGAAAAACTTTATCGTGATGATCCAAAACGAGCGTTGAATGCTTATTTTGAACGTGAAGGTATTGATCCCGTACCACAGTATGAATTCGTTGAAGCGCCTTTTGGTAAACAACACTGTAGAATTGAGTAAGTTATCATCCGGTATTTGATATAATTAGGATATAAAGATACATTCTTTTAAATAATACCATTATTCTTATTAATATTGTTCCCCTGGATCCCGAGTGAAACATAGCGCTTCAACAGTACATCTCCACTTGGTCCTATTTTATGTGGTCCTCTTTGGCTGGCCCCAAGATTGCCCATAGTCTCTCATCTCTATCTCTTAGGATCTCCTCCATGTCACCCTCTGACCAGTGCCTCACTTGTTGTCTCCCATGTGGGTTACGCTTGAGCGACGACCTGGCGCGATGTCATCCGACGGTCTCCTTAGCGTGTGCCCGATCCATCTCTATTTTTCTCGGCATATTTGTTGAGCAACAGGTTCTTAGTTGGCTCGTTCACAGTTTCTTGTTGTGGATTCTTTGTGGCCATTTGATTTTCGGTAGCCGTTGATAAAAGTCTGCACCAGGCTATTGGAAATGCTTTCCTTGACACACTGGCTAAGTTTCTTACCCATTGGTGTTGAAAATCCGAATTCGTTGTTTATGCTGGGAAGTATAGAAGATTTCCAAACTGAATGTATGTGTTGCCTTTCCTATTCTGCTTGCTGACGTCCTCATACTTGCCGTCTGCCTGTAGTTGAAATGATGCTGCCTCTTTCAAATTTCTCCCATTGATAGTGATCGGTACTTGTTGTTGGTTGGTTATTTTCATCATCTTCGTCTTCTCTATGTTCACTTGAAATTGTGTCTGTGCTGCTTCTACCAGTTAGTTGGTTTTCGCCTGTAAGTCTTCGAGTTTATATGACGTTGGACATAAGTCATCCACAAAATCCAGACCTTCTAGAGTCTTCTTATCTGTCCAACGTCTTCCTGTCTTCTCGCTCCCCACATACGGTGTACTGCATAATTCAGTCCACCACAATCAAGAATATCAACCATTGTTTCAGCACATACGATTTTGGCCCTTTTAATTTTTCTTCAAGAGTATATTTGTAGCAACAGAAGACAAGGCCAAGCAACAGATCGTTTATTAAGCAAAATCAACACGTATTTATATATATTTCATGTACATTATTATAGCTTATTCAAGCAGACAAACACAGTCTTCTGATTAGTTGTTTCTTGCTCAAGGTTATTCTGTACTGCTTGTGACTGGTTTCTCAGAAAGTTAAACCATATATCTGCGAATCGTATTTGCCCACGTTAAGTCTGCTGTGATTGGTTGTTGAATCAGTCTTGTTCATATTTACTCACGGCCAATATTAGTGGCCTAGACATTGACGTAAATTAATGTCTACCGATTGGCTAGCAGCCTGCTCTCACCACATATTGTCATAACTTAGTTAATAAACCAAGCTATACAATCCTCACTTATCGTTGAGTGTAATTTGTTTTGGACTCTAGAATGGTAATTTTGTACTGGTGAGTAGAAGTTGGTTAGTTTGTGACATTCTTTTTTCTTTTTTTTTAAATGACTCGATTATGAGATGTATTCAGGTATTCGTTTATTTCTCACTTAATGGATAAGTAGTTCTCAATTTGTATTCATTTATAAATTTTCTCATATCTGATCTTATTGTTTATACTATAACTGTGATTGACTGAACGACTTATTCCTCTCCTTATTCTTCTTTTAAAGATTGCCGTTAAGTTCAGGTACGGTAACTGCAGAAGCTGTTGTTTCCGGTAAACGAAAGGAGGCTGTTGTCGCGTGTGCTTTAGAAGCCTGTCAACTTCTAGATCGTCTGGGTGAATTTGATCCAGATAAAGGTAAATTTATAACTGTAAATTCATACTCTTAACCACTTTTCAGTTTTTTTGAATTGACTATCACGTAACTGTCTACTATGTATTTATTCTACCCTAATTACTATTTATGTCAGCATAACATATGTAATCTCTGTATTGTTCAAATCTATTCTGGACATATTTTCGGTGGTAGTTCGTATGTATTTCTAACCTTACATAGACTTGCTATATGTGATGTTCTAGAGCGAATATGGATTACATAATTCATGTTATCGATAAGATGTCATACTATTCTCATGACGCACGATTAGCCTTCTATTCAATAGTAGAGCAAATAAGGTTACAGTTATCCAATCACATAAATATTTTGAAAGCATTTCTAGTGCATATTTTGTTCATGAAGTAAATAATCAAACAATTCAAGACAATAAATATTAACAAGTAAGATTAAAGTTCTGCAACGTCTGGAAGATTTAAAACATGCTTCTACAAATTATAAGTTTCAAGTTACGTCACGGATTGACATCAGTTAGCGAACCACTGAAAATCAGGGGATACTAGATAGTGATTTCGTCCCTGTTCGAGGCTCTTCATCGGTGGTACACACCTATGACCTCACCGGGAATCGAATCCAAGGTCTTCTGGTTACGAGGTAAGCCCGTTGACTCTTACAACCGCTGGGACATGATCCAATGATCCATGGAATGCAATTTCTTTCAATTCTCAATTTCTTGTGCCAGATTCACAGTATCCAGTAAACCGTGGTCGTTAGTTTTCAGTGATTCCATAACTGATATCAAATCCCTGCAATAAAATACTTTGTAAACATTTTAAGTTGCTCTATTTTATAGTGATGAATAGGATAGAGTTAAGTTGAAGGAAACAAAGTTAAGACTAGTTAAACCACAGCATACATTTGACGCATGAATGGCTTACTTACTGATTATGTCCTTCAAGAGAAGTAGTTACTGTGCTACAGTAATTTTATCGTCCCTCTTCGCCATTGTGGTGTAATATATATATATATATATATATATATATATATATATATATAGGTGCTAAAACATAAGAAACAGCCTACAAAATCTTAAGCAATTCAATTATTTTCTATAGTTTGGTTTTTACGAGGATGAAACAGCAGCTGTCCAGTACTCCCTGGTTTTCAATGGTTCTCCAACTGATATCAATCCATGATCAACTCGTAAAAAATCTCAATTATTGCTATCTTCAAATAAAACGGTTCATATTTTAAAGGTCTAGTTGATTATACTTCACCGTCGTCTTGTTAAGATATTTCATTTGAATTAATTATGATGTATACAGTGTGTGCTAAATATTATTCTTATCCATGTTGTTATAATTTTCATCAAATTAGGGTTAGTCAATAAGATTAGGGAATTTAACTTGAATGGTTGGTAATTTCCAGACTTTAACTGGTGATGACTGACTGCATTTAGATAAATAATTTGTAAAAACAGTAAATTTGAGCTATTAATCATAATGGGAATGCTAAGGATGTAGTTCCATTTTCTATGTTGAATAGTAGTACTAGTTTAATTGAGAAGCTTTCATTGTCTTCCTCGATAACACATTTTCAGCGCTATCTTCACTCAGATTGGAGAAGGTAACTACACCTAAATCATCCACTTGAGCTACAAGTCTTTTCCATCATTCCAAAATAATTGCGTAAAACTTTGCATGATGTATATATGTTCGAGTCAGTCTCATTTTTCAGCAGTAGCTTACAAAACGTAAATCAATAGCAGGAAGATTTGAAAATATTTTTTCAGATGTATGGAGAAGAATATGGTTTACTTTAGTGTGGGTGTGGAACTTAAAGTACATTAGCTTACTGCTCAGGTTTAGCGTTATATCCAATGTAGTCCCGTACGATAGGGAATATTTCCGGTAACATAGAATGTATAATATTATATGGTTGGAGGCAATTAGTAGGGCGCCTCGGACCTAAATTTCAGGGTAGGTGGTACTCACTAGTCAGCAAGACATATCTACAACCTCGAAGAAATTCATGTCCCTTTTGCAATTCGAATCTGCGTCACCCAGTGCTGCAGTCAGAAACTTTACTACCTAGCTATTTGGACTCGCGATTGACGTCCTGCAGGACTGTATTGGATACTTTGATTGGACACTAGTAACTAGTGTGATATGTGTCTAGTCCTTTCTTTGGTGCAGACTGAATTCTATCAGTCAGGTTTGCAATGTGACCAACATTCTAGGTAGCTTGCCATCACAATGCACATTGATTCGACGATATTGGATGGTAAGTCTTGCGAACTATTACCTCCTTAAAGTAGGGGTGTTTTCGGGTTGAAATATTCGTAGTTTCAGAGTGATATTTTTTCTCCTCATTTCTATGTTCATCCAGCAGTGCAAATTTTCACTCAGGTCATCATTATATTGTCATAAATCAACTCTATAATGATGGTTAATGCTATTTTTGGTATTTTCCGACTGGTTATGCCGACATTATGAACTCTCAGTGAACGATTGTTTCAACCAACATAGCTAAGTTAGATCACTACTTTGTGTAAAGCCAACATTTATGTTATACTAACTGTTTTAGACTGGAAAGTATTACGTATTATGTCGAAAAGATGTAGCAGAAAAGATTGTTACCATTCACAAGAATAAATCAAAATCTAATTTCGATCACTGATATTCAATGGAACTAACTAGAACTTTCTGTTGATTGATTTATTGCACTGAAATATCTCGGTCTTTGATGACATTTCAGGTCTTAGTAGAGACACTTCGACGATACCTTCAAGTTAATTAAATATGTGTTATTTGACGTTTAAAACAATGGGTGCTAAGTTCACTTGTCGAATGCAATACTATTACTCATTTAAGATGCAGCTACATGCAGTTGACGAGTCACTGTGATAGTACGAAACATACATCCTAGATTCACTGGTAGTCACTAAGATGCAAATAGTCTTTATCATCTAATTCTAATGCTGGAATTTTAATGATTCGAATAGAAATTCCACACAGAATAATTAATTTCAGTTAGCTTAGTCAAATTTTAAACTGTCTATTTTTTTCTTTAAATTCTATTAGATCGTTCTGGATCATCGAAACATGTTCGATCACGTGCTTATTGGGAAGAGAATGATTATTATTCATCTGATGAAGATACATTTGTTGATCGGACAGGAATTATTGAAAAAAAGCGTTTAGATCGTATGCGTCAATTAGGCGTTAGTAATAATCATGGGGATGATGAAAGTCAGTTAAATGCTAAAATGAAAAGAAATGAAAAAAGGATAAGTGAAGATTCAACTATGCTTTCTATAGTAGGTTCATATTATATTCATTGTTATTGCTTTTTTAATTCTTTCATTCACTCACTCATTTTGGTGTGTAAAAGTGACGATTTTAATGGTACTGTGAGAAATGTTTAAAACATAGAGAAACTGGAAGTATTTTGGTGGATGGTGACTAGTTGTAGAATCTAGGATGCTTATTTTGTCCTCTTTGGGACTCGTCACCTGAATGCAACTGGATTCAACTGTGAGTAGTGATAGTGTTACCACTGACTCTCTGAAGCAGTGCCCATAGTTTCTAACGCCAAATCGGTATCCACTAGACCACTTGGGCCGTGAGAGCCACCTCTTGTGGACCGAAATGCTTGGCCTCAGATTGACATGTGGGCTCCTTGTGCGGATGCTCCGACGATGTCTGAGGATTTAACTTGAAGTAATTTGGTGGATGGTGACTAGCTATGGAATTCAGAATGCGCATTTCGTCCTAAATAAGAAGAAAAATCCCCAAGCATCGTCGAAACATCCGTACAAGGAGCCTACATGTCAACCTGAAGTTGAACACTTCTGTCCAATCCATCGACGGGAAAGTTTAAAGTGACTTAGAAGCTTGATTTGTGTGTGTGTGTGTGGAAAGAAGTGAGTTGACTGGAACTGATTTCTATTACACACTGGGTTATCAGCCAAACTTATTGTCTGTCTGTCTGTTTTCGACATAGAACTTTGCACAAATGTGAGGCCTTTCAAGTCGCCACACTCCGTGTAGCACGCGAAGCAAGAGAAGAAAGTGGAGGAAATACATATTAGAGACAGTAAACAGAGGTGTGAGACAAAGTAATAATGAAGAACAAAACAGTTTCATTGGAAATCCTAAGTAACAAGGAGTGGATGCATCTGCGCCACTGAGAACGATTTTGAGCCATATCACCATTGTTGTCAGTCATTGGTTTCTACCATCCTGAGGACTCCAACCAGTAAGGAAGTCTACACCTTCCTACGTGGCTTAAACTAACTGTTGTAGATTTCATTGACCGGTGCCATGTTTTGGTTTGACCTCCGCTAGCTGTTTTCCAGCCTGACCCTATGTCAGTCATCCAATATTGCCCGTCGAGGAAGGCGATGACTAGAAGGGCATAAGTAACACATGTCCTAACCATCCCAGTCAATGTGACTTCACAACGTCGTCGACTGATTTCCCCTCCAACTTACCTAGCACTCGACGCCTAACCTCAATATTGCTCACTTTATTATACCACTTCACACGGGAGATAGAATGCAGGCACCTGTGATCGAAGACAGCTAATCTTTTCACGTCTTCCACTCTCAATGGCCAGGTCTCACAGCCATAAAGGAGGACGGAGCGGACTGATCAGCAGTACACCCGCCCTTTGGTCGATAGTCGGATATCACGTCTACGCCAGAGACGGCGTAAACTGGCAAATGCTAAACTAGCCCTGTGTATCCGTGCTGAGATTTCGTCAGAAATCCACCCGTTGGCACTGGCTGATGATACTTCCCAAATAAGTGATGTGGTCAACGTGCTCTACCACTTCACTCCCTATTTCTAATCTAGGAGTCGGTGTAGTTCAGTCCTGTAGCATCATCTTGCATTTGGTGGGGGCGAATCGCATGTCAAACATTCGTAGATTGTAGCTCAAGGTGTTCAGCATACTTGTTGTGTGAGGGATAATGATACAAACCAGTTAGTTTCTCACACTGAATTAAGTGGGATGGGATTCAAACTCTATGACTAAATCAGTGACTGAAAGTTCAATTGCTTTAGTCAATCAGTGGCATCTACATTGACTTGTGTATATGTGCTGTATGCAATTATACTGTTAGATAAATTGTTTTCTACATTTAGAATATCTGTTGTTATTCCGGCCTAAAAAAAGTTTAATTGTTCAATTTTTGCACAGTGCTTATCCGTATACGTTATAACTACGGTACCTTTCAGGTTATTTTAAGTTTCCCAGTCCCATACTGTATGTTCCCAGGTCTCTCTTGGTAAGTAAGTTTGCTGCAACTCAGGCTGAGAGCTGGACAAATAAGTGCTTGCATTCCTATTTTTCTGATAGAAAGCAGTACACCGTCTACAATGGAAAGTCCTCCACTACCTCACTTACTTTAGCTGGTGTTCCTCAAGGTGCTGTTCTTTCTTCCTTTCTGTTTTCGTTTTTTTTACATGACTTGCCTCATTTTGATGTAGCCACTTTTGTTAAGTATGCCGATGACCTCTCGGTTTCTATGCCTGTCAACTCTAAGTCAGATTGTTCCAAATTAAATAACTTTCTGTCGGAAATTAGTCAGCGATCCTCTTCGAACGGTCTTAAGCTAAATCCGTCCAAATGTCAGGTAGTCAATTTCACTTTCAGACGTAAACGTGACCTACAACAACTAGTTAGCTCACATGGCCCCACTGTCATTGACGGCACAGAGGTTGAAAATACATCTAATGTCAAGTACCTTGTGCTGAGTTTTTCCACCGATCTTTCCTGGTCTTCCCACATCTTGCTAGTTACTAGAAAGATGTTTCGCTTAACGTTCTACATTAGGAAATTTAGGCAGTCTGGCATAAAGCAGTCTTTGCTTTCTCAGTTTGTAAATTCTTGTATTCTACCCATCCCCCTTTTCTGCTCCCCATTAATCTTTCCTGGACTACTTAAGAAAGACTTTGCTTCGCTGAGAAGGTTAGGCACTAAAAGCCGTTAGTAGGGTAAGTGGGATATCGTTAAACCAACTGGTTGACACCATTGTGGATAGACATATTACGTCATGTAAGAAACTAGCAAATACAATATTGTCGGACCCCAAGCATCCTCTCTATACGCAGCTGTCTTCTTGCATTTCATCTGGTAGAACTAGAAGCAGCTATAGGAAGGAGGGTATATGCTAGGACTACCAAGTACAAAAACTCCACAATACCAAATCCGGTACAGCTGTTATGTGATGAGAAATCCGTTAGGCATGACATTATCAACTTACTGTGATACTCTAACAAATAGTCCCATTAGTTTTTGTTTTCCTTTCCTCGTTACTATTACACTGTTGTTCACATCTTCTATGACACACTAATTTTATATTTCATATCCTGTGGTGCATTGTTTAAAATGTAAACGCAACGCTGTCCTTCTTATTTCTTTTTATTTGTCTTCTTTTTTAAGGTGTTGCTTTTTGATTTTAAAATCTTATATAATTTATGAGGTATTTAGATGCAATATATTGTAATGCACGCTGAAAATTCCATACCTGTACCACAAATACTTTTTGAAGTAAAGCTGTTATATTATTATTATTAATGACGTCACAAGTTTTTCTGAAAGTTGTTCCAAAACATTTGACTGATGCTATAATTATAATCCATATTTTACTAACTTCCACACACTTTGACCATCATCTGTTGAGGTGAAAGAGATTGATGAGGACAGATTCAGTGTTTACTGGGATGAAATACAATGTACCCCTCAAGGAAATCATAAACAGCTCGCGTTGACGCCATAATATTCTTGTCTTCTTCTTCTTAGATTCTTGTCAGTGTTGTCAGCTTTCCACGTCTCTTCTTCATTGTCTTTTCCATTCATATATAAATTAATACCAATTTTCTGAAGGCGTTACTCGATATATTATTTATATATACTCACAAGTAGTAAACACTGTGCTATAGCGATGTGACTGATACTAAGTAATATTTGTTTTCTAAAATAAGACGGTAACCTTTTATCAATAGATGAGTACAGAATGTGTATTGTTTTCAAGATGATTAACTTGAATGTACTAAATCTGCATATTGTGTTTGTATCAGCTTTCAGAATTAGAAAAGATTGGAGAAGAGATTGTCTCAATTGAAGAAGAATTAGCAGCTATCGATCGAGGTATACACATGCACAATATTTACACGTTAATCTGATTTTATTATTATTATTATTATTATTAGTAGTAGTAGTAGTGTGGTGAGAGCAGGCTGCTAGCCGATTGGTTGGCACTAATCTACGTTAAGGTCTAGGTCACTAATATGGGCCGTGAGAAATATGAACAAGCCTGAGTCAACAACCAATCACAGCAAAGTTAACGTGGCAAAATATGATTCGCAGAGAGAACTCTATTTGTCAAGGAATCCCGAAACAACCAATCAGAAGCCTGCGTTTGTCTACCTAAAACCAATCAGATGACTGCGCTTGTCTATAATAATGTAGTTGAAAGATGTATAAATACGTGTTGATTTTCATAATAAAACGATCTGTTGCCTGGCCCTTGTCTTCTGTTGTTACAGTAGTAGTAGTAGTAGTAGTAGTAGTAACGCTATTTCTGTGCTATAATGTTACAGGAGACATTAAACGGACATATATCAATGTTATGGTGGCTTTAACAAATGCATTTTACTTAATTTATCGTACCTATTACGGTTATAGATATAATTCAGAGATCGTTGTTGGTAGGGAAGTTTCGTCCAATTATGAAACTGTGGCGTTTAGTATCTCGGATACTTGCCAAGTTTACTTGAGCCTTCGACCTTCAAGCAAATGAGTCACGAGTCTGAATCCTATTCCACCTGGTTCAGCATAGGCAACCACTGGGTGGTAACACCAGTCATCCATCACATTATAAGTACAGCCCATAGCCAGATGCTGCGTAATTGAATTCTAACTAATTCACCTCATCACTTATTTGCTTGCAGATTTGAATTTTGTCCACTTACACTTTTGGCTGACTGACTGACTGGTTTCAGCATAGAACTCTACACAGAAGCGCAACAGTTTGAGTTACCACAGTCCACGTATGACACGATCAAAGAAGAAAAGAGAGAAAAGAAAGAGGCTCAAAAGAACGATAATAGATAGAATTGTATGAGAGAAATAAAAGTAACATGAAGAAACTACAGGGTTTACTAGATATGGGAGATCACAAAGATTAAATACGTCTGCGCCATTAAGAGCGATTTTGAGCCTTATCACCAATTTTCTCCAACCATTGATTCTTAGAATCTCGAGGATCCCAAACAGGAAGTCTGCAATTACCTACGTGGCTCATACTAGTTGTCAGAGATTTCATGGAGTGATTCGAAGTTTTGGTTCGACAACTACACAAGCTCTCTTCCAACCTAATCCATCCTGTGTCACCAAACATTGCTCGTCGGTGGAGAAAGGCGATGGCCAGACATTCATGCATAACACATGTCCTGACCATCTCGATCGATGAAACTTCACAACCTCATTGATTGATTTTCCCTCCTACCGTAACACTCGACCCTTAACCTCAACATTGCTCACCTTATTATACCATCTAACATGGGATGTAGAACGCACACATCGTGCCAGGCTTTTCATGTCTTCCACTTTCGGCTGGCATATCTCATAGCCATAAAGCAGGACGAAGCGAACTGCTACACAGTACACATACTTGTAATATTTTATCAATATGCAAATACGAATAAATAAGTATCTGGTGTACACTACTGGCCCACTGTTTGTAGTATACCTAACAAACGGATTAATATCGAATTTTTATTTTTGTTATCGTGTCTAATTTGTTTTTAAAGATAAATAAAATTTATTTATTTATTTTAAATTCTCTTAGTCTTGTATACAAACAAACCTTAACAGAATCATTGAATGGGGGGTTTGCTCTAACCATCTTAGGAAATAATACGTTGAACTACAAAATAGTTAGCAATCACCTTGTTCCTATGCTGCAAAGTAAATCGGCCATACACAGCCTCAGGACGTACTGTAAAATTTATTTTAAAATACTGTTTAGCTTGACTAGCCAGAGAAGACAAGAAGCCTGTCAACTATGGGCATCGAACACCTTTAACTTCTTCACAGAATTCGCCAAATACCCCACCAGGAAGCTTCTAAGACTGTTTAATTAGTCCACTCCTTCAAAATAAAGTTTCTACGTTGATCTATTGCTCGTCTCAGCTTTTTAGTTTCAAAGCAATAGCATGAAAAAACTGTTGTGTTACTTTAAACTAAGTTTTTTGAATAGGTCTTTCATATTCCAGACAATGGGCTACACTTCTCGTGAGAAGATTGATATAGCATTCTCTGGCTGTCCATGTGGAAGTAGGTAGAACTCATGACTCACTAAATAAAACCTGAATGCTTAAGGCCGTAAGCTACGTCAACATGAGGAAAAAAAGCAATAGAAATTATGGGTTCCTATGATCATATTGATACGCAATCGTTGGACAGTTTTAATCTGATGAATAAGTTTTGTAATTTTACCATTTTCTTTTTCATTTTTCTAGAGTTCTCATCGAAAGAAGCAAATCCGTCTCAACTGGATGAATTAGAAGCTTATATGAATGCATTGAAAACATGTAAGTTGGTGTATACAAATGTATTATTATTATTACTAAACCAAAACCAAATACTCGGTACATTTTGGGCATTAGAAGATGTCCCACACAAAATCACATAGTTCGTGCGAGGGCTAAGAATACTACTCCTTAGTTGCCCATATCGAAGCGGATGGTTTTCTCAAGGGGCCACCGTGAGCCTTTGTCTTCACGTATTATCTTCAAGGCAGTGGAGTAGCGTCAGTTGCTGCACTCCCAAAGTTTCCGGAGACTTAAACAGGTTCGTACACCATTCAATCCTTCCGGACAGATGAGATTATATTCCCTCTCTGATTTCTTGCATGAGTCCATGTATGCATCTAAAACAGTATTAACAAGTTGGTTAAGTGATCGTGCAATAAATATTTGATAATAAATTAATAATTCCAAATATTTATTTCCTTTTTTGAATTCATTTATTTATTTAGCCTCATCTAATCGTGCAAGACGTTCTAAATTAAAAGCTCGTTTAATTTCATTACGTCAAACTGAACTTCAATTAATGCATCGTGCTGGACTTACACAATTTCGTAGAAATTTAAAAAAATCGAATGGACAAATCAACAATTCTGAATATATTTCATCATCAGAAGCTGCAGCAGCAGTACGAGCTGCTAAAAATAAGTTAAATAATAAAAATAACAATGATAATGACAACACTTCAGAATGTCATGAGAACACTACTCCTACTAGTACATCTGAACAAAAGTAAGTTTACGCATTTGTGTTATGCTATTGATAAGCAAAGCTATCACACTGTCGTATATCATGAAATAAGTAGTAATGTGGTGAGACTGTTTGCTAGCCAAAATTGGTTGGTAGACAGCAATTTGCGTCAATGTTTACATCCAAAATCTTAGTCATGAGAAAAAAAACAAGATTGAAGACTAACTCAACAACCAATCACAAGAGACTTCCTATTCAGCAGTTGTACATATCTCCTGGAAAGAATTTATATCATTTTCATAGGGAAATGTAGTGCTTTATTTGTGTATTCCCTAATTTCGACGGCAGGTGGGAGAAACAAGTCTGAAACTTAGAAGGCAGATATATTTTCATTGAGAATACACTTCTGCCTTAATCACGAGTTTTAGAAGCATCAAACTTCAGTCAAATGCAGTTTACAGATTATAGTGTACCGATTGATTGAAACATTTTCATCCGGATCCTAACATCATTTAGATAAACGTTAGGAATGCGAATACGCATAATCTCACACTTTTAGGTCCAAGGATTAAACAGGTTTAGTATTCAGCCGCTAAAGTGACATTTAGTGAATCCGAACTTTGAATGCTCTGCTCATCAACTGAAGGTAGATGGATTCCATTTTATATGCATTTGGAAGTGCACACTACTAAAGAAAGCAACCTAGACTAAGGAAAACAGAAGTCGTCCAGTACTTCCGAGTTCTCAAGTAATCGTCTAAGTGGTGTTGACACCTAATTGAGTTTCTGTAAGCTCATAGATGTGAACAACTACGTTTTATTATTATTTCCAGTTTATTTTATTTTATTCCTTTGGTTTCCGAGTGGAACATAGGGCTTCAAGTCTTGTGCTTCCAGTAGCAATGGCAGCGTTCTTTTTTTACGGAGTGGGGTTGCCAGCTTCACTCCAAAAACCTTTCCTCTTTGTCGGTCCTACTTACTGGGTAAGCGAGGTCTACGAGTGCGTCGGCTGGAGGTCACATCCAGACAACCGTTAATAATTTTAAAGAAATATTCCTGTTGAGATTGGCAATTGTTTTCGTTTTTATATTGTTTGTCTTTTCTATATATTCCAGGATTAAAAATGCTCGAGCTGATAGAAATGCATTAAAACGCAGTTTACAAAATCATGCTAGGGTAAGTAGTCCTTATTCATTCTTTTAGTTGAAAATTATTTATTTATTTTTACTGTTATTAAGAGAGTTTGAACTCACTAGTTTATATACTAACAGTTCACTTATGCTGGAAAGGTAGGTGTTAGAGGCAATCAGGTGAAAGCCCTGCTTCCCGCTTATCTGTCATATTGATTCTATCAATACAACTAACACTTTCGACCATGTCAGTTGAAAGAAACTGATGGTACCTCTGAGATTCCAATCTCCTTCATCTCGTGTTGTAGTCAGACACCACCTAATATCAATTCAGATTGCATCGAAATGTCGAATTACCTAACTTGGTGACTACATTGCAAATTTAATTGATAGCTAAAACTGAACACATGACACTGCTTACTCTTCTAGGTAGTCGGCTAATGAATTAAAGTCTGGTGTTACTCAACATCAATCACTTTTATTTGTATACAAATGTTGGTTAACTATACATATTGTATAATGGCTCTGATAATGATATCCTTAGGTGTAAATCTAGTGGCAGTAGTTGAAGGTTAAATGCTTAAATCAGTGAAACTGTGTTGCATATATATCGGAGTTATTTTAAAGGCAAATTCTGTAAGATAATATAAAGTGTAATGTTTATCTGAAATATGAATAGTAGACTTAATACTGAAGGTAATCTTATACCCTGCTATTGACTATTTGTATTGCTCTAAGGATAATTTTTAAATGTACGTGACTAATTAAATCTCAGGGCATAAGATTATTCTCGAGTATTAGTTTTGCAGGGATTTAATCGATTTCAGGTTTGATCACGAATTGATTTCAGTTAAAAAGAACCAGTGAAGACCAGGGGGGTACTGGGCAGCGCCTTCCGATTATAAGATCATTGGCCTATGAATTCGAACTTCTACCAATTCGCAATGTACCGCTACCAGCAGCCAATATCATTGGTGAGCATCTGTCTTCACAATCACAGCGGTGCTACCTCGCCCCACCCCCTCTGGTCACAATTTGCCACTATAAAACTTCAGGCAACTTCATCCTATAGTCAGTTACCCTAGTGACCACTAGGTTAATTCACAACTAGGACGAACAACTGTCAAGCAATTATTACTCCTTGGTTTTCAATGGTTCTCTAACTCAAGTCAGTTGCTAGTGATTAAAATTGACATAGTTATCTTCTGTTTTGTAAATAAATGAAAGTTAACTGTCTGTTTATCAACAGACTAGCTGATCATTTAGTTTTTCTCCTGTCACTCCTAACCATAATAAATTAGAATGAGACAAGCAGGTTGTTAAATTGAGACTACTTGGTGTAGCCTTAGATTGATAGGCTGCTAATGATATATAATGAGTAATGCTTAAAGGTGAAATAAAATTCTAGGTGTCAACGGGATTTGAAATAAATAAATTTGCAATGAACCTTTAGTTACCGTCCACTCTATATCAATCTTTCAGATAGTCTCAACTGCAAGTAGTTTAGTTGTAAATATATACATATATAGGCATACTTACCGGTGTTTAGCAGTCGTCATATTTGTTGACGTGAAAGCGGTATTCAATTCTGTCGACCAAGAGGTACTATGACGATGTCTGTCGGTGAAGGGAATTCCGAGAAAATACATCCCATTGATCAATGCATTCTTCTGGAACTCATGCAGCCGGATGAGAGCCTACGGGAGTTGTTATCTGAAGTAGTGATAACCAGCGGTGTCCGTCAGGGATGCCCATTGTCCCCATTTCTGTTTAATCTCATCATAAATATACTAATGGACTTAATCCTAACTGTCTTAAGTGACTCAGGGATTGACTTGTTACCACCAGAGATGATATAGGTGAAGACGCTGACAAAATGTAGTGTTATGAACACTTTGAGGAGCAGCAATTTTCTAATGTTTGGCATGCGATTCGTTCCCGCCAAATGTAAGATAATGCTACAGGACTAGACTACATTAACTCCTAGCTTAAAGGTGGACAAGAGTGAAGTGGTAGTTGGGAAGTTGCATCAACCAAGGCCAGCAGTTTGGTGGCTGACAAATTTTAGCTCGTATACAGAAGGCTCGTTTCGCATATGCCAACTTTTTCCATCCCTGGCATGGACGTGATATCTGGCTATCGACCAAAGGGCGTGTATACTGCTCAGCAGTCCGCTCCGTCTTCCTTTATGGCAGTAAGACACCGCCACTGAAACTGGAAGAAGAGGTTAGCTATCTTTGATCCGTAGGTGCCTGCATTCTACCTTCCGTGTGAAGTAGTATAATAGAGTGAGCAATATTGAAGTTAGGCATCGGTCAAGTGCTAGGTAGGTAGTTTCACAACTTCATCGGTTAAGATGGTTAGGACATGTGTTACACATGCCTAGCGTAGTTATCGTCTTCTTCGACGGGCAATGTTAGCTGACTGACATACATAGGGTCAGGGTTGAAAATGGCTAGTGGTGATCAAACTAAAACATAGCGTCATCATTTAATGAAATCCATAACAGTTTAATCCACGTCAGGAGGTGTAGACTGTATATGCCTGGGGTTCTCGGGATGGTAAGACCCAGTAGCTGGAGACAAAACAGGTGTTCAGCATTTGCTGCGTTCCAATTTTCCTTTTAAGCTGATATTAGTCCTTGTGATCGGACTTGAAACCAATCAACACTTGAAAGATGTAAATGATTTTGTGATAAGCATAAATCTCCAACAGAAAGGATAATTACATGAAGAATAATAAAAGATTTAATAAATTGGGCATATCACAAGGAGTAATTCATGTGCAAACTAACGCCTGTATTATTATTCATATTCATATTATTATTATTATCTCCTCTATATTCTTTTGTTGTATAGTCACTGTATGTATCTCAAAAGAAGATTGAGGTTGATAAACCTTTTGAAGTGGAAAGTGATGACGATGATGATGATAATGTTATTGATAAGAAAAAGAATCATGAGCATCGTGATGAATGTGATGAAAAAGAAGTTAAAATGAGAAAAGGATTATCACTGATGATTCTGTTGATTCTATAAAATCAAATGAATCGTCTTCACTTCCTCCTCTTCAATTACAAATAAAAATACTGAAATGAAAAAGTACACTGAACCTATTCATCATCATCATCAAACAACTCCATTAATTCCGATGAATGAATCAGTAGAAGGTAATAAATTCACTACTACATCAGATGTAAATATTACTGTAAATAATGTAAGTGCAGATGAAACCCTACAGAATATTGCCATGGAAACTAAAGAATGTAAGTTTAAAATCATTCAATATTGTTATTTAATAATTACAAGATTTATGATTTCTTGAATAAAAAAGCTTTTATTATCGGTTGATCCTGCTACCAACAAAATTAGTGAGATAAATTTATTACTATTATATTATTTCCGTGGATTCCGAGTGGGATGTAGAGAGTTTCAGCAGCATGTCTCCACCTTGTCCTATTCTCTAAGGTCCTTTAAGCTGACCGCACGATTCCCCGTATTCTCTGATCTCCTGCGTGTCACCCTCGGAGGGCGTCTTACACGAGTAATGGTCTGTCATTGGCGGTCCCCTTAGCGATGTGTACGCGATCCATCTCTATTCTCTTCGGCATATTTATTGAAATTCTTCATGAATGATATAACTATCTCACCTGATGACTGTGATAAGTTGCCTTCATAGTTTTCTTACTCTTGTGTTTATTTATATGGGTATCAGTCGTCGTTTCGTTCACCTGGTCTTCGAACCTTCTGTCATGTGATTTTTTGTTTTTTCTTATTTGGTTTACGTCAACACAGCTTTTTGAATGAAGATTCATCCGAGTACTGGACTGCTAGGAATTTTCTGGGACTTTTAGGGGGTTTCCACTGTTTCAGATTTTTCCAGTTACATTGGTGTCTGCACTTATTATTTTAATAATCTTACGAGCGGATAACTTTATTGTCTTATTCATTTGATTTCCGTCGCCGTCTCTGGCGTAGACGTGATATCCGACTATCGACCAAAGGGCGGGTGTACTGCTGATCAGTCCGCTCCGTCCTCCTTTATGGCTGTGAGACCTGGCCATTGAGAGTGGAAGACGTGAATAGATTAGCTGTTTTTGACCATAGGTGCCTGCGCTCTATCTCCCGTTTGAAGTGGTATAATAAAGTGAGCAATATTGAGGTTAGGCGTCGAGTGCTAGGTAAGTTGGAGGGGAAATCAGTCGACGACGTTGTGAAGTTACATAGACTGAGATGGTTAGGACATGTGTTACGGATGCCTAGTCATCGCCTTCCTCGGCGAGCAATATTGGATGACTGACATAGGGTCAAGCTGGAAAACAGCTAGCGGAGGTCAAACCAAAACATGGCACCAGTCAATGAAATCTACAACAGTTAGTCTAAGCCATGTAGGAAGGTGTAGACTTCCTGACTGGTTGGGGTCCTCAGGACGGTAAAAACCAGTAGTTGGAAACAATTGGTGACATGGCTCAAAATCGTTCTCAATGGCTGACTGGCGCAGATCGATCCACTCCTTGTGACTTAGGATTTCCAATGAAACTGTTTTGTTCTTCATTATTACTTTGTCTCACACCTCTGTTTACTGTCTCTATTATGCATTTCTTCTACTTTCTTCTCCTGCTTTGTGTGCTACATGGAGAGAGTGTGGCGACTTGAACTGTCGCACATCGGTGCAAATTTCTATGTCGAAAACAGACAGACTGTGTGATTTACGTCACAATGTAAGGGAATTAAGTCTTAAATAATTTGATTATAAGCAATGAATTGTTTGCGTGTGTGTGCGCGCGCGTTTAGACAGTTATTCATTGAGGAAGCTCAGCCGGGTTCGTGCTGTATGATAAGTTGGCAGGATTCTGAAAACAGGAGCATAATACCATAGTAATATTTTATATATTAGTATGGGATTGCATACTACCATAGTGTTCGATGTTTACACTTTTACCAATAGACACTCAAATTCTGACCCCAGAGGCTAGATATGTTGATATGTTTTCTCATAACGAAGAAAACTGTTGTGATGAATTAAAGTCAATGATGATCTAATTTACTGTGAAGTACCATTTTATTCACTTCATATTGATTGATCTCATGATCAATCTTCTTCAATGAACTGTGATCAGACAATCGAATAACTCAAACTACCCGTGTTATTATCTTTCCTTTTTCCTATTACTATTTTCTCTTTTGTTGAAGCTGATAACAAAAAGCAGCCAACAGGTAAAGTTAAAGGACCAACTTTACCTCAACAAGAATCACAGAAACCTAGTGTAAGTTGATTTTCTATTTTGTTTCTTCCCCTCGTAATTAATTATGTTTTGATGATGCCAAGTTTTGATTGTTGAAAATTTAACCTACCAATGGATATAATGGTAAATTTCACTAATCGATATTAGTTCGAAAAATAAACTACTTGGTTCACATTAATTCGGTGAATGATGTAAATTTGTGATGAAATCTGTCTTCGGAGCTCAGATGAATCCAATCAACACTAAATCGACCGCCACCTACAACGCGCCCAACAGTACCAACAACGGAAGCAGAAATACCAGTGAACATCGACCCCCAGACGAAATCAGAAGTCCTGAATGCAATAAACATGCTAAAAGCTGGAAAAGCAGCAGGACCAGATGGAATCCCAGCAGAATCATTGAAAATGGACCCAGAGACAACAGCGGGCTTGATGACACCACTACTGCTCGAGAAGGTGTGTAAAGACGGCAAAGTACCCGAGGATTTGAAGAAAGGATACTTATTCAAACTACCAAAGAAAGGAGACTTAAGTCAATGCAAAAACTGGCGCGGAATTATGCTCCTGTCCATTCCAAGCAAAATACTAAGCCGCATCATCCTGGAGAGAATCAAACAAGCCAACCTGGATGAAAAACTTCGACCGGTACAAGCTGGATTCAGGAGAATCAAATCATGTATTGATCAAATCGCCACACTATGGATCATCATTGAAGAGAGCTTGGAATGGTAGTCACCTCTCCACCTCACTCAACTTCATCGGCTTTGAAAAGGCCTTCGACAGCGTCGATCGAGAGGTCATTTGGCAACTACTCCGCTACTACTGTGGGGTGCCATCGACAATTGTACATCTCATCCAACAGTTATACGACAATGCTGCATGCCGAGTAATCCACAACAGGAAACTTACGGAAGCCTTCAAAGTGAGGACGGGAGTGAGGCAAGGCCGTCTACTATCGCCAATAATTTTCCTAATTGCAGTAGAGTGGATAATGCGACAGACAATGGCCATTGAGGAAACAGACATAAAATGGATTCACACAAAAAACTTGGAGGATCTGGACTTCGCCGATGATATGTGTCTGATTTCCCACAAACTGGAAGATATGCAAGTGAAAAGCAACAATTTGACTGAGGAAGAAGCATCAAAGATAGGACTTCAGGTGAACATAGATAAAACAGGCGATGAAGATTCCTGGCCATCACCAACAACAGCAACAGACAGCAATCAGCTGGCGGAAATGGGAGGAACCTAAAAGAAACAACCTCCTTTACCAACCTACCCAGGAAGCATCGTTTCAACTCCAGGCGAACAGAACTGACGAGGATATCAAAGCCAGAATCGGAAAATAAGACAAGCTTTCATTACTCTCAAGTCTGTGTGGAGGTCAACAGCACTCACCATCAAAAATAACATCCGGATTTTCAACTCCAATGTGAAGTCAGTCAATGCTTCTCACTCTACGGATCAGAGACTTGGCCAGCGCATCATAAAGAGCATCTCAAACAAACTTCAGACCTTCATTCACAGTTGTCTTCGCTCAATACTCAAGATCAGATGGCCGGTCAGAAAAGATCACCAACAGGGATCTCTGGCGACGAGCGAACCAACCAGGAACCCATTGTGAAACAAATAGGCAGGAAAAAATGGAGATCGATTGGCCACACTTTGAGGAAACCATCAAGTGACATCACTAGACAAGCGATTGCCTGAGTGGAACTCGAAAGGGAAACGGCGAGTTGGTCGTCAGTGCAAGGGTGACTTGGTCATGTAAAGAGGAGACGAAAGCATGTGGGCAGACTTGGAGCTGGGTGAAAAAGTTGGCAGAAAACCGAAGGCAATGAAGACGCGCAGCTGAAGCCATATGTTCCTCTAGGAATTAAAGGATATAATAATAATAATCAACACTTTTGACAATCAATTTTAATGAAGTAGAATTAATTTAACAAATACTTAAGGATGGTTAGACAAGAACACAAAGGCCAGTTTATGAAGTCGTTGCCAGTTGTCCTGAGTCAAGTAGGAAAATGTAGTTTCCTCAGGATGTTGGTACTCAGTGGTGGTTGCACGCTCTGGATGACGGTCGTGACAGTGTAATCATTCTTTTTTGTCTCTACGTTGCTGTAAAACTTCAATAATTTTGATCATCTAGTTATTCTCTTCTCTTTGTGTTTCACATTGTTTTCCCGAAGTGTTACAAACTGAAATGATGCACACTTATGTACAGTGATGTACATTTATTAATTAGCCAGTGGTTGACATAATAGATCATTCTATGATTAGATGTCGACCATGTCTTCACTCTCCTAATTATACACCCAGTAATCCCAGCTTAAATTTATGTATTTATAATAACTTGGTTATAAGAAACCCGTAGTATGTTTAAGCGCCGTGTGATTGTTTGGGTTGATATAGTTGAAACAGTGTGGGTGTGCGACGCTTTGCTTGAACAAAATTTCAAGTATTGGTTTTGTAGGCAATTTCGTTCGATTGGTTGGAGGATTTCATCATGAGCTGACATCAGTTAGAGAAAACCTGGAGTACTGGACTGCTGTTTCGGATCCCAGTGGTTAATGGTCTACCTTGTAACCAGAAGGTTCTGGGTTCGAACCCCGATGGGCGCATACTGATGAAGAGTCCCAAGCTAGAACGAAACCGTCGTCCAGTACTCCCTGCTAAATTCCTGCTCATGATAAAATCCTCTAACCAAATGAACTAATTTTAACTATTGTATTTCTTCTTTCTATTTGTTTCTTTCGTGAATAGTAGTTAAAATTTTGTCTACTTTTTGACTAAATACCTTTAGGAAATGACCGTTGACCAGTCAAGCCATGGTTCAAACCTCTCTTCCCCTACTTAGATCCTCTATAAATCTGAATTATATTGAATTAACGGAGAAAAGCAGGTTGATACTTTGTGATGAAACTATCTGAGATGGCCTAGACGATCAGCTATTGTGATGATATACTGATAACAACTTTTTTCGCATGACAGCTGGGTACTACCCCTGAAGATCGTAGTGAAACGAATAGTTGGTTAGCACCTAGTAACGCATTTCAGCTGTTAGAGTACCAGAATAGTAGTCTTGAGACTGGTTGTCGGAATCCATTGGTTAGCCAGGTTATCATTGCATCTTCAATCATCGCCCACTGAATCAATAGTAGTCTACCGTCTCGAAGTTATCTCAAACAGTGTAACGGGAGAAGATAAGCTATTTGAGAACACAATTTTTTCAGGAGATACACATCGTATTTATGCAGCCTTAGCCACATTGAACTTCGGCTAGATCAAAGGAGAATAAATTGTTCTGATTGGTTAGCAATTGGCCCAAGGTTAAACAAGTCGTCCAATAAGGTTATTTCATGCACATAACGTAAACTAAATCCAGATTTGAGGAACAAACACTTCTGCGTCTGCAGCCATTGACTTAAAATGATGACTTCAATTTTGGCCACTTCCTATCAATCTGCATCACGCCACAAGTTTCATTATTAATTTATAATAATAATAGGTAGAATTTTCTGTAAATAAAAATTTCGAGTAATCATACGGTTAGCATTTTATGATGCACCTTACTATTTATTATCTTTTGGATGAAAAAACATTGGGCATATATTTATATTCTTTTCAGTAACATAAAAGAAAAGTGTAATTTTGAAATCGTTCAATACAGTATTCGCTAGATTTTTGTTTTGATAATTTCTATATTTTGTGTGTGTGTGTTTTAAAGTAATCTGATGTAGCCTTTTACATAACTGTATTTCTTTTGCTTTCGTTGATAAATATTTACAGAAACAGGAAGTCAATAGGAAGACTACGGTATTACTAGAAACTGATCCAGATTATGTGGAATGGGTTCCTCCAGCAGGTTAGTTGTCGGTACTTATTTTAAATGTTATTCAAAATCAGACATCTAAACATATAATGTTATCGATGAATAATCACGAGTATTTTTTCCAACAGGATGAATAGTGTTTAAATTGATTGATCATTCGAGGGAATTATGGTTCTAGCTCTTAGTGTTGGCGCTAACTGAATTCTGTCAGTAAAATCTTTAATGTACTCGCCATTGTGGTGATTTTTAGATTGATATTAGATGGTTGGAGGTTTCGTGTGTTATTAGTGTATATCTGCAACCTCACATCAATTCGAAAATTCAAATTCGCATCACCCAGTGCTCCAGTAAAAGATGTTCGCACTCACGATTGTTCTCCTGTAGAACTATGGTGGACACATTATTTAATCACTATGGGGTAAGCAATACTTCTAGTCGTTAATTTGGCGCTGTGCAAACCTTGTTAGATAGAGTGGGATTCAAATCCATAATCTACTGGTTAAAAATTGAATACCTAATCCATTCCACTATGGTACCACAGTTCTTATTCATATATCGTATTCGAATAATAATAGTGATAGCAGTAATAATTCACGCCTTGTCATTAATTGACTTCAAAATGAATTTCCAGTGAAATTTGGTCCATAGTCGAGTATGAGCACAGTTACAAACTGGTGAGCATTAAGTACAGGTGACGCTATATCACTTTTTATCAGAAAAAGAAATTTCATGAACTGTTAACTGCGCTACAACTCAGTGAATAAATGGTAAACTCGCTCACCTCTTTAATGTGAAGGTCGTAGTCTCGCTTCCTGAAAGGATTATAACTGTGCACTCTTGAAGAGTGCCATACTAGGACGAAACAACAACTGTCCGCTACTCATACCATTCAAAACATTCAATAATTAATTATTATTATCTGTTAGCTTTAAGAATCTATAAATTATTTTTGTCTTTATTACTCTTTTGAAAAAACTTTAGATCAACGTGGAGATGGTATCACTGCTTTAAATGCTAAATATGGATATTAACTGAAAAAGTTGTCAATAATGATTTCAAACTACCGTGTATCAAAATTTATTTGCCTTTTTTAGAAAATTAACCCTTTTATGCTATTCAGAAGACAAACAAACAGAAATAATTGTAAATTAAACAAGCAATGAAATAATGTCTGTTTGTGTGTGTACATACCCTTTTCCTTGTATAATTTTGAATAATAATCAGCATTTTGAAATCAGTTAAAAAGACTTTATCTTCATAGACTATCCATCGTAGAATGAAGGAGTGGAAATAAACGGAAAAATATACTTTAGAAACATTTTTCACCTTCGAGCAGTAGCACTTTTATATCACAGTTGAAAATTACACAATACTGAGTAATGTTTACTTCAGTAACTCAATCAATATTAGACATTCTAGTACTCTTGCATACTAACATTGCGTGTTGAACGTTAAATGTACTTTGATTGGACACTGGTAACTAACTAACTAACTGATGTGATGTGCCTAGTCCTTTGTTTGGTGCAGACTGAATTTTATAAGTCGGGTTTGCAATGTGGTCACCATTCTCGGTACCTCGCCATCACGGTGAACAGTGATTTTATGATATTAGGTGGTTGGAGGCAATCAGCAGGAAGCCTTCAATCTTGGTTTCCTGTTTGTTGCCACTCACCAATCAGAAAGGCGTATCTGCAATCTTGAAGGGACTTATGTCCCCTCTGAATATTCAAACCCATGTCACTCAGTGCTGCAGTCAGAGACGTTCCTACTGAGCTATTCGGAATTCAGTGTGCACCAAACAAAGGACTAGACACACTACGCCGGTTACTAAACTAGTGTTCAACCAAAGTATCCATTTGACAGTCAGTCCTACAGGAGGAAAATCGCGAGCTAGAATAGCTCAGTGGTAACGTCTCTGACTGCAGCAGTGGGTGGCGCTGGTTCGAATCTCAGAAGGGGCATAACTTCCTTCAAGTTTGCAGATGCGCCTTGCTGACGAGTGCTGATTAGCACGAAACCTAGGTCTAAGGCTTCCTACCGATTGTCTCCAACCCTCTAATACTATCGAATGTTAAATGTATCAATGTAACCTGAGATTTTACTGTTCCGACCATTTCCTAAAATTCAGCATAAGAAGGCAAGACAGTGAACAATTATAATAGACGATGAAAGCTCCGCAATTAAACTAAGGAGCTCAGAGAACACTATCAATTGCAAGTCAACAATTATTTTAAGTAATTTACATTTTACATGTTATGGTAATTCAAAGTCTAAGTCTTATTTCAAGAACTATTAGAAAATGTTATTTAACGATAAACTGTTGTATAACAGAGGAGCTTTTTTTTCTTAAAGAACAATCGTGTTGGAGAATAAATAATTAGGGGAATTTTATGAGTCAGTTACTTTTCTCAACACCTTGTCATCTTTTTATTTCTTACTTGTATCATTGTGTTTAATAAACTTCAATAACCACTGATAGCTGTGAATATGTATACACCATATTTTATAATTTAACATATTGGTGATACTTTTAAACTGGTATCCCTCATTTGCATACGATTGACGGTAAATTACCATTTCTGAGCAACTGACCTGACACTAAGGGTCAGAAAAGCATACTGACTTGTAGTAGGAATGTCTTCCAACTGCTATCGGTTATGATAGTTAGCAATGCGTTAGAATTCATAGGCCACTCTGGATCCCATCTCAAGTGCTGAATGATTGACTGCCTTCACTTCATAATCTTAATATCCTGGGTTTGACCTCTGTTAGGGGTAATGGATGCGCCTCAAGATAGGCGGATTAGTTGTCCAGTACTAGCTGGTTCTCTAAGTGATCTCAGTACATGATCTAACTTGAAATTAATTCGATTTAGTTTGACGTTTAAGAGGCGCTTATTATTGTAGCGTTAACAGTTGTCGACTATGAATTTTGTCCTTGCTAAGTTCACTTATCCAACAATCAACGAAGTAGCAAAGCTAATTGAATTAGTCTGTAGCGAATCGATTCAACTGAATCAGTGCTATCCCTATAGAATGAACTTAATGGTAGGAATATGAAAGTCACACCTTATAATACGTAGTTATTGCATTGATTCTTTCCCGTGCTTCTATAACTGATATCTAACGACACCAGCATAGAAAAGTACCCCTCCTGAATTATTATTAGAAGCGTAATACAAAGTCCGATTATAAAAATAATATTCATTGACTTTTTTGAAAAGGATCATGTCTATAAAATACTCTAATCAGAAGGTAAACAACTATCTTCAACAATTCCAGTTCTTGGATAATAAACTTTGAATGTGTAACTATTTTGACGACGTTTTGATGTACTCGAAAATTGAATATGACCAAATCGACCAGGATTAATAAATCGACAATTACCAGTAGTAATAAGACCAGGTTCTGAAGCATTCAGATCAGCTAAAGGTTCTGGTTCTATAGCAACTACTAGATTAGGCAAAGGATGTAAGCCTAAAGCTTGATCATGATACCAATATACAGGAGCTATATGACCTAAAACTGGTAGCAGATGAGCTTGACTTGCTAAACAACGTGCCAAGCATTGACCCAAATGCTCGAAAGGGGTTTTATCAGATTTCGCAGTTGTTTTTGATTTGATTGACTGTGCATCACTATCAACAGTTGTACTATCCATGTCAATCACCTGAAGAAAGAAGAGAATAAACATACTTTGTATTTAAGATAATATGCTTTAATGTTTAATACAGAAATGAAAAAATTCTTTTAAATCACCGAGCTAATCACGAAGATTTCTTACAAAAGCATGTGTACACATTGACGTACAATAGCAGCGAACATTTCCAAAATAAACGCACTCATGCTTTTTGTCTAACCGCTATCCAAACAACCTTTCTGGCATGGTAGGACCTCAAGCGATATAAGTCTCAGCCAGTATAGTTTGTTGGGTCATTGCGGTGTTCAAGCCCGATCACCACGTCAAGGTAGCAGCTTTCGGTCGGGTATCCTCTCTTATAAGCATATTTATCTGCTATGCAACATTTTAAGTACATATTCCCTAAACCATATAGTATTTTACATGAGAAACTTCAGATTCTCCCCTTGTGGGCAAACGAGAAGATGTAACTAGTCGCACACTTTCAATAAAACACATCCGTAAAGTTTTATCGAAGTGGTGGTCAACATAAAACAAAAATCGATCACGTGTTTAAAACTCGGACACATTATTCTTACCTCAGAATTTTCAGTTGCAACTGAATCTTCTACAGTCTCCTTTGTTTCAGTATGAGAATCTAATGTGTTTATTGTAGGCAAGTGAACACAATGCCGAATTAATAGTCGACTGTAATTTACACGAAAAATCACTATTTCACGTGTATATACACGTAAACGACACGGATTTGAAGCTAAATGCAACCATGATGGACAAGTAGACGAAGATGAACGATTTCCATCATTAGAAATCAAGTCGAGCGATAAACCAGGACGTGGTAAAATATATTTTGGAGCATAGACAGGATCTTCTGGACCAGGTATTAATATCAATGCTGGTGATCGATTCGACTCAGAAGTATTTTGAGAGTCTGTATCTGGAAAGTTGTTCTTGAAGATGGTGATTAACTGTCGTAATAGCCTTTTTAGAATTATTCTCTAGTTTAAAGATAGAAAATATGATAAATCCTTTATAATCAGTAAAAACAATGCAATTGTAGTCTGGTTTGTTCATCAAGACGATTCCGGAGCCTTTATCTGGTCGTGTGATGATCAAGTTTTCATTATTGAATTGAATTTTTGATTTTCCCGTCGATTGATTGGACCGAAGTGCTCGGTCTCAGGTTGACATGTCGGCTTCTTGTGCAGATGCTTCGACGATGTCTGCACAAGAAGCCGACATGTCAACCTGAGACCGAGCACTTCGGTCCAATCAATCGACGGGAAAATCAAAAATTCAATAATTAATATGACCCGTCGCACAAGAGGTGGCTCTCGTGGCCCAAGTGGTCTAGTGGATAACGCTTTGGCGTTTGAAACTATGGGTACTGGGTTCGAGCCTCAGTGGGAACATCATCACTCACTGAGAAATGCAGGTACATCCAGCTGACGAGTCCCAAATAGGACGAATGCGCATCCTGGATTCCACTGCTAGCCACCATCCACCAATTGTATACTAAGTTTTCATTATCCTTCAGTTCTTTCAGCCGCTTTCGATATTCTTTGTAAAGTACGTTACGAAGGCTGGGTTTTTTGTTGATGTAATCGAGGCACCAATTTAAAACAGTTGATTTGAAAAGGTCTGCATTCTCATATGAGATTGGGACGAGATCTTTCGTCTGGTCGATTAAATTCTCAAATTGCACTTTCGTGTTGAGTTCATTCACTTTTGACGTTGCATCACAAAATTTAGGTCCAAGTGCTAAGATTTGCATTTGAATTGGAGATAGTGGAGCATCAGAATAATTGTACAGATGATCTTATAATGAAACTAAACCAAAGCCCATAGTCCGTTACAAAAGAAACCGTCTTTCCTACTTGTCCAGAAAATACATGTACAGTTACTCTGATATTCCACTATATCCAATTCAAATGCAAATCTCAGCACTTGGACCTAAATTTTGTGATACACCATCAAAAGTGAATGAACTAAACACGAAAGTCCAATTCGAGAATTTAATCGATCAGACGAAAGATCTGGTCCCAAATCTCATATGAGAATGCAGACCTTTTCAAATCAACTGTTTTAAATTGGTGCCTCGATTACATCAACAAAAAACCCAGCCTTCGTAACGTACTTTACAAAGAACATCGAAAGCGGCTGAAAGAACTGAAGGATAATGGAAACTTGATCATCACACGACCGGATAAAGGCTCCGGAATCATCTTGATGAAAAAATCAGACTATGTAAGCAAACTCTCGGTGATACTATCTGATGATAAAAAGTTTCAGAAAAAGACTCCACAGAAAAATGCAATCGATTGTATCAAAAAGAAAATCCTTCATAAAATAAACAATGATGAATACTAATACTATGCCACGATCTGATTTAGCCGACAACTGAAAATGTTTGAAATATGTTCGGCAAAAAACATATGTAAGACGATACTATAGAATTGATATGTATTAACTTTGAGTTTATGCAGCAAAATAGCTGGATACCTGTATTCTAGCGTCAATCATCACCTACTGTATAGGATGAGTACATTGTTCAGTGACTAATTAGCTTCAACTTAGAACTTTGTACACATGTGCAGCAGTTCTTGTTGCCGCTCCCTCAATGTACCACACAAAGCAAGAAAAGAAAGTGAACAGAGACTCAAAAGAGAGGTAATAAACAGAAATGTGAAGGAAAAAGAAGAGTAATATGCAAGAACAATAGAGTTTTATTGGATACGATAACTCATAAAGAGTGAATGAATTTGCACTATTCACTAAGAACGATTTTGAGTCATATCGATAATTGTCTCCAGTCTTCATTGGTTCTTACCATCCTGAGGACCCCAACCAGTAAGGAAGTCCACATCTCCCGACGTGGCTGGTTTAAACTAACTGTTGTGGATTTCACTGACTCATGAGGCCATGTTTTGGTTTGACCACCATTAGCTCTTTTCCAACCAGATCAATCCTTATTCAGCTAACATTAGTCATCGGTCGAGGAAGGTGATGGCCAGACATGCATGCGTAATACATGTCCTAACCATCCAGATCGGTGTAACCTCGTCGATTGATTTTCGCCCTTTATCTAGCACTCGACCGATGCCTTACCTCAATATTACTAACCCTATAATACCACCAAAGACTGGAGACAGAAAGCATACACCTACTATCAAAGACAGCCAACCGGCCTTTCCATGTCTTCCACCTCCGTTTCGTCCAACTTTAAGGTTACAAGATACTCCTGTTAAATGCACAAAATGGTATGACTCCTAAACGGTGGAAACATATCTTAAGTAATGTTGAATGGTGCATAAAAAGGTCACGTAAATTAAAGTGATTGTTGCTTTTATAGATTCAGTTGACTATGATGGGTGTTATTGCATGTAGAAACACCGCTTTCGTATGTATTGTTTTCAAATATGGCAACTGATGCGATTTTGTGCACCTTTCTACTTCATTAATGTGACAAATACTTAAAACATTATAAAATGTTTACGACTACCATTTTCTTTCGGAAATTGTAATGCTGATTAACCATGAAGCTAATTAACACCATCGTTACTGTTTCGACTGAGTACCTGGAACAAGTCTTTCAAATTCTAGGCTATGATGCACACTTATTGTGTGACGGGTTAAGTAGATGGATCAGGATTCGAACTCTAGACACACTAACTCAAAGTCGAGTACTTAAGACAATAGGACACAGCCGCACTATTACCAAAACTTGTTAAGCAGAACTAAGAATTCTTTGACTGGACGCCGACTAGTGTCATGCGTCAAGTCTTTTTGCTGCTGCAGACTGAAATCTATCAGTCAAGTTTGTAATGTAGCCACCATGCTAGGTGGCTGGCCCATCAAGATACACTGTGAATTGTTGATATTAGATTGTTGGAGGCAGTAGGTAGGAAGCCTTCAACCTAGGATTCGTATTTGTTGCCACTCACCAGTCAGAAAGGAGTACCTGCAATCTTGAAGGAACTCATGTCCCTTCTGAGATCCGAGCAAGAATAGCTCAGTGGTAACGTGTCTGACTGCAGCACTGGGTGACATGGGTTCGAATCTCAGAAGAAGAGACATGAGTTCCTTCAAGATTGCAGATACATCTTTTTTGATTGGTGAGTGGCAACAAATACGAATCCTAGGTTTAAGGCTTTCTGCCGACTGCCTCCAACCATCTAAGATTTAAGAATAGATAAAAACAAACTTTCCGTACAGAAAAGGCAAACAAAACAATCATAACAAGAATAATTTCAAGTGTTAAACTCCATCACGAACCAAAACCAGTTACAGAGGTCACTGAAAGTTAGGTAGCAATGGACAGCTGTTTCATCCCATTGTGGGACTCTTCATCAGTGAACACCCACGACCCCACCAGGGCTCGAACCAGAGAGATCAAGATCGTTGACCATTCAGTCACTTGCACCTGGTTTTCACCGATCACTCCAGCTGATGTCATTTCGTGACAAAATCTAACAAGTGAAATTAATCTAAATCCCATAATCTGTACATCAATAACAATAATTTTTTTTTGATTTACAGCTTGATTCCACACTGTATTTTCGGTACAAGTATGGAATTTTCAGCATGGATATCGGTAGCCCAAATTTCGCAGGCCGACCATAGATATCGGATGTGCGTCGGCGTGGGCTCGAACCCCGACCATGTGCATGGTCGGCGAGAGTCCTAACCACTGTGCCACCGACGCACAATAATAACTTAAATCACTGTGAGATGATATAAATTTCCGCATAGATTGGAATATATTTGGAACTTGGTACTAATGACGGACAGTCGAATACTTGTAAAAAAATAGATGATAAATCTCAACAGTCTAGAATAACAGACTGGATAATCTTTACACTTTTCATACAACGGTAAATGTGATCAAATCACCGCCAACTTCACAGGCAAGCATCATTCTGCATTATCAATGTAATGGATTCACAGACAAACCTAGTTTCTGGACGGCCACTTCATAACCAGAAGGAAAGAAGGGTTCACTTCTAGCTAGAGCGTTTTTGATGTGCGTGCATTGCCGAATAGTTACAAGCTAGGACAAAAGAGCTGCCCAGTGATGTATAGTTTTCAATGACTCTTTAACTTATGTCGGTTCGTGACGAAATCTATGCTGAAGTTAAATGACAAACCCTATAAACACAAGATACTCCATCAACGAAGTTTAACTGAGGACATTTAGTCTAGGTATTCGACTATCAGTTTTAGTGGGTTGTAAATCCGAATCCTGTGTTATAACGGTAGGGAATTAAATGAGGACGTTGTCGCCTTGTTCTGTCTGCGCCTGACTAATATGCCTATCTGCTTGTGGTACCTTCCGATTCAGTGAAGCACGCAAATATCAAAAGACAAAGGCTGGACTGTGACTGTGTATTGTAGTACAACAACTACGACAAAGAAAGTCATGGTATTTATACATTTTTACAACAATATAGACAGCTAACAGCATTTGAAATAATTGATCGTAATAGTCAATAACAAAGTGCGTGAGAAATGATAATATACCATCTATGCGAGATTAACAGTCAATAACAAAATGCGTGGGAATGATGATATACCATTTATGCGAGATTAACAGCCGTTGAAATAATTGATCAGTAACAAAGTGCGTGGGATCCTATCACCTCTCCCCGTAAAAAGTGTAGGACTTGCTTTTTGGATCTATTTGAAAAGGTTTCGGAGCTCTTCTTTGTCGAGTTGACCTTCGCGTGGTACTGGATAGAGTGTGATCTGTGTCCCGGGCTTCCGGCTGCGGAAGATTAAATGTATCTACTAATACTTCTAACGTGAGGTCTCGTCTCCCATTGTCGGGTCTATCTGACGCATCTCGTATATGATTCGTGTGTCTGACACATAACTGTCCTTCTACATTCACTTTGTATAAAACCCTTCCTTTCTGCCCCACTATTTGTCCTCGAATCCATCTCGGAGGTGAATAGCGAAAATCTCGTACATAAACTTGCTGATACAATTTGAAAACTCGACGTTTAGCTCCGTGATGGCGATTGAATTGGTTTTCCATTTTTGTATTTCTGCAGCCCTGCTTTACTTGCCTAGGCTTAATTGAGTCGAGGGCAGTTCTGATCTTCCGGCCAAACATAATTTCCGCTGGGGATAACTGATTTGGGGCGGAAGGATTTGGCGTCGTACGATAATGCAGCAAGAATCTATCCAAAATTTCTTCTGTTGTTCCCTCCCCCTTCGCTTTTGCATAAGCACGCTTAAAGGTGTCGACGAAACGTTCAGCCTGTCCATTCGATTGGGGATGATACGGGGGGCTACGAATATGCTGGATGCCAAACAGTTTGCAGAAATCTGAGAACAGTGATGAGGTGAACTGCGATCCATTATCGGACACCAGAACATCAGGCATACCAAAACGACAGAATAGTTGACGTAGGTGGGACACTGTTGCAATTGATGTGGCAGAATGCATAGGAAATATCTCTGGCCATTTGGAAAACGCGTCGACACATATTAAGAAATGCATACTATTGAACGGTCCAGCGAAGTCAACATGAACACGGGACCATGGTTTGTCCGGTCGTGGCCAGGAACATAGTTCTGTCTTGCGTGGGCACTTTGATGCTTGAGCACATTTACTACATTTGCGAACGAGGTCTTCGATATGGTCATCGATGTTGGGCCAGTAAACATAACTGCGAGCGATCGCCTTCATTCTCCCAACACCAGGATGTGATATATGAAGCTGACGAAGCACATGGTTACGAAGATTAGCTGGAACCACAACACGATCAGCAAACATTATGCATTCATTAACGATGGATAAGGATTGGCGTCGCTGGTAAAACTGTTTTAAAACATTTGAATGAACATGTGGAGGCCAGCCAAATCGGATGAACTTTGATACTTGCTGTAAAACTGGATCACGCAGTGTGTGGCTGGCAACCTCAACTGCAGTCACCGGAAGAAGTTGAGTCGCGCCTACCAGAACTCTGTTTACATCATCTTCAACAGAGATGGATGCAATAACAACATCCTCGCTTTCCAACTTCTGATGGCTTAGCAGCCGTGATAATGCATCTACCTGGCCAAATTCAGAGGTAGGTTTGTATTTGATATCAAAATTATATCCCAGTAACATGACAGCCCACCTTTGAAGCCGATTCGCAGTGTACACTGGAATGCCCTTTTTCGAACCAAATATCGATAACAGGGGTTTATGGTCAGTAAATAGAGTGAATTTCCTACCATGAAGCATTTTGTGAAACTTTTTGACTGCGAAGATAAGCGCCAAACCTTCTTTCTCAATTTGGCTATATTTGCGTTCGGTTGTATTCAGTGTTCTAGATGCATGTGCAATAGCTTTCTCCCTTCCGTCAGGAAAACGATGAGATATAACAGCACCAATACCATAGTCGGATGCATCTGCAGCAAGGATGATTTCAAGACTTGGATCATAATAAGTAAGCAGCATGTCTGACTGGAGTAACGATTTTACTTTTTTAAATGCATTTTGACATTCAGGTGACCAATTCCATTTTGCATTTTTCGATAACAGGCGATTCAGTGGAGCACGTATGCGATGAAGCTCTGGTAGAAATGCACTGTAATAGCTGATGAGGCCAAGGAAAGATCGCAGAGTGGCAACATTAGTGGGAGCGGGCATATTCTGAATAGCACGTACATTTTCTGGGTCTGGTCGACGTCCATGTTGATCAAAAATGAACCCAAGATACTTTACTGAATCCATGAAAAATGTACATTTATCCTCTTTAAGGTAGAACCCAAACTCTGACATTTTGGATAGCACAGCGTCAAGTCGATCAAACAATTCAGACTTACTACTCCCTGTGATTATCACATCGTCGAGGTAGACAGCAACACCAGGTTGGTTAGCAAGCATAGTATCCATGATCTGCTGAAAAATTGCGGGTGCTGGTTTCACACCAAATGGTAAGCGAGTAAACTGGTAGAGACCTCTATGAGTGTTGATTGTTAGCAACTCTCGAGACTTTGGTTCAACTTCTATTTGAAGGTAAGCATCAGCAAGGTCAATTTTTGCAAAACATTTACCACCATTAAGTTTGACGAATAAGTCTTCTTGAATTGGTAATGGATAAGCATGATCCTCTAGAGCATCATTTAACCCAGTTGAGAAATCTGCACACAGGCGAATGGAACCATTTGCTTTGCGTACAACAACTATAGGAGCAGCCCAGGGCGAATACGTTACTGGTTTGATGACACCCAATGCTTCCAGTCTGTCGAGTTCATTCTCAACCAATGTGACAGCAGCATACGGAACTGGACGTTTTGGACGAAAAACTGGCTTCGCGTTTGGCTTTAGAGACAAAACAACTTGGGTAAATTTGCAGCAACCAAGTTTGTCCTGGAAGACAGAAGCGTGCTTTTGACGCAGGCGTTGCAAGAGAGACTGATCAGATACATGTCCGGGAACAACGTTATGTGGTGAGGACGAAACATTAGAGCATACTGAATTTAATGGTACATTGAAGATATGGAGCTTGTCTAACCAGTCAAGACCAAGCAAATTCAAATCATGGTAGTTTGTGACGTAACATACACCATTGAAGTGATGCTCACCAAACTGAACCTGGCAATTTATCTCACCCACGAGTTTCAGTATATCTCCAGAGGCATTCTTAGCGACATGCTCGGTCGGCAGAATCTGTGGGCACCCAAGTTTGCGCCACGTAGTTCGGGAAATTAAGGTGATATCTGATGCCGTATCCAACTGAAGACGAATATGTTTGCCGTTAATACCTAGTGTAATGTACTTACGTTTGCTGGCGAAATCGACTTTGGAAGTTGTGAAAATGGTCTGTACTCGAGGAGATTGTTTCGGCTTGAAACGACTACTTCTGTTCCTCACCGAAGAATTTTTCTGCGGTGGACAGTAACCCTCTTTATGTCCAAAACGGTGACAATTACGGCATTTATGTTTCTTGAAAGGACAGAACTTGACAAAATGCCACGAACCACAGTGCCAGCACACTGAAGGAGGTTTAGCTGAATTCTGAGACTGACGTGCTGTGTGCTTAACGGTGATCGGAGGACTTTTCACTGTGTTAATTGAACCAAATTCAGACGACTGTCGTTTGCACTCCACCATAGCAGTATCGTGCTTCAAGTTGATTAAGCGTAGGCATTCTGCTGTCACCATTTGTAAAGTCATTTTCGGGTCTTGTTCCACGAGTGACAGAAGTCGAGTTCTTATGTCAGTATCTTCTGGGTTCTTCAACCCACAAATAAAAATCAAACACTTGAACTGATCTGATGTCATTTCGTGTGGTTTGAACCTTTCGCATTCCTTGTTCACTTTGCCAGCGTAAGTGACATAATCATCGGAAGGCATTTTTGTCAACTGAAAACATTGATACCGAATATTAAACATGGATGACTGTTCACCAAAGATTTGTGATAAAACGGTGACTGTCTCATCGAATGATAACTCACGTGGGTTCTTAGGCAGAATGAAGTTAACATATCTGTTGTGCTCAACAGTACCAAGTTTTCTTAGTAACAATCGGACTTTGGCAGCATCATCAAACATGTAGCATTCAATACGGAAAACGTCTTCGTAACGATTGAACCATGCATCAAATACGAGACCAGATATTGGGTCGTAGTTGAACTCACTGATGGAATTTGAGATGCTTTCATATTTGTCTGAATGAGATGTTGATGGAACTTGAATGGACAGCTTCTGAGTGAGAGCTTCGATTAATTTTAGTTGAGCTGCTTCATTCTGAACTTGCTGCTGCTGCAAGATAGATTTGAGATCGTCCAGAGAGATAGACATTGTAATTGGGTTGTAATTAACACAGTCAAAAATGTTCTATAGCTGCGCTGAACAGAATAAAACCCGTCGTCGCTTGCTTGTTATAACTGCAATGAATTAAGGTAAACCCCGTCGCCAATTTGTTATAACTGTAGGGAATTAAATGAGGACGTTGTCGCCTTGTTCTGTCTGCGCCTGACTAATATGCCTATCTGCTTGTGGTACCTTCCGATTCAGTGAAGCACGCAAATATCAAAAGACAAAGGCTGGACTGTGACTGTGTATTGTAGTACAACAACTACGACAAAGAAAGTCATGGTATTTATACATTTTTACAACAATATAGACAGCTAACAGCATTTGAAATAATTGATCGTAATAGTCAATAACAAAGTGCGTGAGAAATGATAATATACCATCTATGCGAGATTAACAGCCGTTGAAATAATTGATCAGTAACAAAGTGCGTGGGATCCTATCATCCTACCTAATACCAACGTAGATCAAAGCAACTGATTACTAAAAGCATTTACACATTAGTCAGGAGATGCTGTCTGATACATTTATTTATATGTGGAAGTCAGAATTCATGGGCCATTGAGTTGGTTCCAATGTTTGAATGGTCTAAGAGCTCGCCTTGTAACCAGAAGGTCCTGGGTTAGGGTGCGTACTGCGAAGAGTCTCAAACTAGGACGAAACAGCTGTCCAGTACTCCCAGGTTTTCCAATGGTTCTCTAACTAATGTCAGTTCATGATGAGATCCCCAACCGATCAAACAAAATCCCTACAAAACCAAGACTTGAAAACTCAAAATAATTGTTTCGACAAACAACAAAGAATACCCTTAGCACAAGAGAGTTAGTCTTCATGATTAGATGGTCCTGTGAATAACGTTTTCATGTTTAACACGTTGAATACTGTGTTCGACTCTCAATAGGAACACCATTTAGCCACTAGATAAGCAAGGAACTCCATTTGAAGAGCCTCTGATGGGACGAAACTCGTGTCTACTTCTAGCTAACATCAACCGACTCAACATTATTACTTGATTGTAGTAAACTTACACGTTCAGTGCATGTTTTTCCAGCAGAATTTGGACTTAAAAAATTTCCGCTTAAAATAAATGCAACTGGAGCACATGCTGCATAACCACCAAATAAGGTGGTTAAACGATCCAATGTTTCTGCTCTATCAAGATGTGTTTCACCAAGAATTACTAGCATAGCATCTGAACCAGCCTAAAATAGAAATAAAAATTAGTATAAATTTAATAAGGCATTATACAATTATACAATTTTATAACCAAAAGTGTATAAAGTTATGATAGTTATAAAAGTATTGCTAACAGCGAAGGTATCTACACAATGAAGATGATCTAACGACTGATGTGACTGACTGAGTTCCAACATAGAGCTTCACAACATTGGTTAGATCACAAAACAGCGCATTACTTCGAGTACATTCATTCAACATTAGAATTCAATGACAATTATGGCTGAACAAAGGACACTAATGACAAGTAACGCAATTCAATTCAAGTTATTTGTATTAGTTCATTAAATAGATTTTTTTTACAAGGTATTTGAAATAGGGTTTCTTTCAGATGAACACAGTGTTACTTTTTAGACATTACTATTAACTGTAACAAATGATACGGTGATGATAATGCAGTTTAGTCGGCTGGTACAAGTTGTTGTCGCATGTACCAGGTTATGAATCACTCTTGATATGTGACGATATAAACTGATTGCCCAGTATGAAGGAAACAGAATATGAAGAGCTTAATCGGTAGATGGTGACTAGCATGAAATCCAGGACGCACACTTCGTCCTATTCGGGACTCGTCAGATGGATGTACCTGCATTTCCCAGTGAGTGATGATGTTCCCACCGAGGCTCGAACCCAGTGCCCATAGTTTCAAATGTCAAAGCGTTATCCACTAGACCGCTTAGGCCACGAGAGCCACCTCTTGTGCAACGGGTCATATTAATTATTTAATTAAATTTTAGATTTTCCCGTCGATTGATTGAACCGAAGTGCTCGGTCTTAGATTCCACTGCTAGTCATGATCTACCTATTAAATTCTAATTACATGCCCAGACATCGTCAAAGCATCTGCACAAGAATCCGACAAGTTAACCTGAGGGTCCAGTCAATCGACGGGAAAATTTAAAATTTAATTAAAGAATATGAGGCGGTTGTACTCATTTGGTACAAATACACAGAATCGTACTTCCATGCTACACTAATAGAATTATGGGTTTTTTCACTGAAACCTGTAAGTTCTTGAATGTTTAAACGTTACCAAGTAGGTTACTTAGCCACGTGAGTATCATGAGTTCCAGTGTTAACTACCATCCAGTAAACTAACAGTACATTTAAGCTTCAAGCGAATACAATGGATTTTAATAATTACAGAACTATAATCTAGCTAGGAGAATGCATACGAGACTTCTGCTCCGTGCATCGTCTAATCAGTATGCCAGGAAGTCAATCTCGAGGTTAATTACTGATGCGCAATGGCATTAAACTGCAAACTGATTGCTGACAGTATAATACAAGTTGTTAAACCTTTCAACCACAGGTTTATGAATCGACAAGGATTTAGACACATATGATGAAGAAATTCGCAAAATACTTCATACTATTAGCTAAAATGTTAAAAATCAGTGTTCATAAACCATTGAATTTTAACAAAGTGGTTGAAGGATAGATAATTTGACAGCTCAAGGTTTGATGATTAGACGGCATTGTAAGTGTACACTACTCAACATCCTCAAGCCAGAGCGAAAACACTGTGGATTCCCACCCCATGTTCCACTAACTGACGCTATTTTATGACACAAGTCACCTTGAAATGAACTTAATACATCAGTATTTTTGCCTTAATTTACGGCATAAGATTTGCGGGCAGGAATTCATCGAATACCATCATAAAGACTATAAGCGAAGCACATTAGATATCGAATTCAAAACGTAGGAAGAATTAACGAGGCGTACAAGTATATTTCCCGGGTAAAAAGATGAATGCACCTAATTATTCCGTAACATTTGCAGTACTGATGATGAAGGTATGAATGAATATGATTTGCTTCATTTTGTTTTAAGTTTCTCATTTCTAAACATTTAGTACTGATGTTTCTTTCCACAAAGGACTTGAAAGTTAGGACCACTAAATGCTGATGATACTACCCAGCTACCTAGACTGAAACAGGTGAAGTGTGATTCGAAACGACGCACTGGCTTAAACCTAAGTGGTAAAAACCAATGCCTTTTGTGAGCTAAAGTATTTCTCTACAGTACATCCAAAGTTATATTGAATCTGCACCCACCCACCCCCACAATAAACGACCCAGTACAGCCACACATGGATAGACTCCGGTCTTCCTCCCAAAATTCTCTGATGTGAACAGCATTCCTAACCTCTTCTGCGTAATCCCTATTCACTGCTTTCACGCATCACAGGTGTTCCTCACAAAACTGAAGGGGTGAATTTGGACGTCTGACGCAGACAATCAACTGGTGGACATACAGATCTAACCAGAGAAGCTAGAAAACCCTGATTCTAATCCTACAGTGTACATGGACTCCAGAATCCGGACGGATCGAGTGGCGTATGAACCTGTTTCGGTTACTGGAAACCATGGGGATGCAGTCCCACTGCTTTGGGGATCATACTTTAAGACAAAGGCTCGGGATGGGGGTGGCCTTTTAAGACAACCAACCGCTTCAGCCTGGGCGTCCGGTATCAGAGCCCTCATACAAACTATGAGACTTTTTCTGGGGCACCTTTTGGTGCCTATAATGTTTTAAGTTTATTTTTTAATAAACACAAAATATACCCTTAAATCTCAATGCTATAACTGATATTTATTATCTTGTAGTCACTTAATACCTAAACAAAATAATAATTGAATGTAATAAAACAAAATAAGTTTCAAACGCAAATTCTGTAAACCTTTAAGTACTTACTTGAGTAGTTGTTAATAATCTATTCATTTTTGCATCATGAGAAGCTGCAAGCGCGTCTGGTGGACCTCCACCAAACGGATTTCCTACAGAAAATGCACGACGTGTTGTTTCACTAGATTCACATGGAGGAAGACCCATCCCAGTGACATATAATACTTTTTCATCATAGAAACCTTCAATTAGTACAACTGATCCTTCAGGAAACAATCCCTAAGAAGGAAGAAAAAATTGAGTGTGAATCAGATCGCTTTATATTTAAGATACTGAAAATTCGTTTAGAATAGTAATTATATCTGATGAAAAGTTAAATAAGCATACAACATGGCCATTACGATAGTTTATTAGATAATCACACAAAATACTAAAGACTAGATATGACATCAGCTACACCCCAATAACTAATCAATGCACCTATTAAAGTCCTAGAAGAGGTCAATTGTGAACATCACGTGGCGGAGGTGTTTATTTCACCGAAATGAGAGGGCAAAAGCGGATTCCCGGCGCTCTTCACCGGGTTGACTGTCCATTGGATGACAGTCTAGGGGAAATGGCTAAACCCTGATTCCAAACCTCCAACGACTGGCGTATGAAGCTCACCGGCAGACGTATGGACAAAGGGCTTATTGGATGCCCTGGATATCTGGCCCCATTCAAAAAGGCGTATGAACTGGACTCCGGTCACCGGCTGCCAATGGATAGTGGACTCCCTACTCCACTCCTACTGCCTTGTAGGTCACACTTGGTTGTGTAAAGGCTAGTGCTGCACTCTCAAACAAAAGGCCAAGCGATGCTGGGGACATCACTCGTACCCAATTCCCATGAAACTTCATCAACTCTCTTACAAACATTCGAGATGTTCATGAAGCCGGTTCATCCTCCCGTAGGAGATAGCCGAAGTGAAGTAAGTAAGTAAGTCAATTGTGAACATAAACAGCTTATTAGTAACATCTCTGAGTGTAATACTGGGTGATCCAAGTGTAAATCTCTGAGTAGACATAAATTTCACTAAGGTTGGAGATGCGTCCTGTCAAAACATATCAACAAACACGACACCTTGGTGACTGCCTGCCTTCAACCTCCTAACATGAATTCAGAGTGCGTCGCGATGGCAAGCAGCCCCATGAGTACATTACGAACTTTACTAATAGAATCTAGCCACCATCAACATCAATCACTAGACTCATGACAATGCTTACTCCTAGTACCAATTAAAAGTCAGTCTAAGAGAAGAATATTCTGTTCGACAAATCCTCTTCAGATCCTTATAGTTAGAGAATAAAATATAATAACCAGTTATAATGTGTGACTTTAACGGACACTGTCGAATTTGACTAGATTTGAGATGAGATGAATCAATATGTGATTCGGTGATGCGACGCAAATTCTTTTGAGTTGGAGTTAATTCGGTCGATCTGACAAGAGAACTAGCTGTATGAAACTATATATCATAATAGTAAGGACCCTGAGCAAAGATGACACGCAAAATCGTGAAGAGTTCCATATTTTCCACCAACCACTCAGACGGTCCGTGATTCAACCCCCGGCCGACGCACTACCAAACCTCACTTAGCTGGTAATAAGTCTGACAAAGAGGGGGGATTGGGCATGAGACTAGCAATCCCCCCCCTGTAAAAATAAGACCACTGATACTGAAGCTTCAAAGCTCTGTCTTGAAGCTCTATGTTCCACTGGAACTCAAAGGAATAAAATAGAAAAGGACCTGAAGAGAACTTATTGAAAAGAATACTCGTCGTTTAGACTGACTTTTAATTCATCATATAGGAATATTTCACACTGGCAAATCTTATAATATTCCTTAGTCGCCAATCAATATAAAACAGTATTGCTTGCTGTATAAAGTTTGGAACACAGCTTAATTGTTTGGATAATATGGATTTTATGATTTGATATGATACGACATCTAGTAATCGAACAGACATAGAAGTAGTGGAATATCGTTTTACATGTTCTTTACACGATATTTGTGTTTATGTGCGGGTACATCGAATTATATTACCTATCTCAAACTATTTCTGAATAGGTCTTCCAAAAATTTAGAACACAGTAAGAAAAAAAATGCCAAATTGTAAAGATAATGACATGTTTACTGTCAAATTAGATTAATTGTTGTCTAAGCTGCCGTTTTCATTAGTGAACGTTATAACGTTGTTTAGAATTAAACCAACCTTACCATGTATGTGAATGATTACATTTCCAAGAGTTGATTTTTAAGGATTTGATTTGTTTCTGGAGTTTGATATCAGTTAGAGAACCATTGAAAACCAGGGAGTACTGGACAACTGTCACCGAGCGATGCTGGGACATCACTCGTACCCAATTCCCATGAAACTTTATCAACTCTCTTACAAACATTCGAGATGTTCATGAAGCCGGTTCATCCTCCCGTAGGAGATAGCCGAAGTAAAGAAGAAAGAAGAAGGACAACTGTCTCCTCCTCCTAGTTTGAGACTCATCGGCAGTACGCGTCCACTCGGGTTCGAACGCAGGACCTTTTCAGTTACAAGACAAGCTCGTATACTACTCAGCCACTGGAACCCCGACTCAATGACCCTGGTTTTCAATGTTTCTCTGACTGATATCAATCGTGGTCAAACTCCATAAACAAATCAAATCCTTGCAAATTAACTTTTGAAAATTAATTTGATGTTCGCTAGTAACTTGCAACAGGACGGAGTTTCCTGGAGTTCTAGTGAGAAGTTGTGACCAGTGAAGTCCATTCAGTCGGTAATGATGATGGATTTGCGCCGATGACATTAGTTGATGGTTGCATTAAAATCATGAATTCGTTGAAGTTAGAATTCATGGGCGATAGAATCGGGGTCCCAATGGTTGAATGCTATACGAGCTTGTCTTGTAAACGGAACGTCTTGGGTTCAAACCCCAGTGGGTGCTTACTGCCAATCATTCCCATAAAAACTAGAATAAAACAGCTGTCCAGTAGTCTCTAGTTTTCAATGGTTTTCTAACAGATCAATCCATGGTGAAACTTGAATAACTATATGTCGCTGTAACTAAATTCGATCTAGTCGGTCATTCTTTATGTAGTTGTAACTCGAATCTTTCATAAATGAGTCATATAAACTTTCGTCGATCGAAGTGCTTCACTTCTCCCGCAAATTAGCATTGAAAATGATATCCAGTACGATAATAAAATGTTTGCCAGTCAAAACTTTAGTACAGATTATAAATCACTCAAGTAACATTCATATTTCGCGCAAAAAGATATACTCCTTCACGAATACAGTTCATTTTAATTTCATATGAAATCCATCTGCCCTAACGATAGTTTTAATTCTATCTTAAAACAATCCACAATTTGTACGATTCCAGATAAAATTTGATTACAGTTTCCTTTGGAAACAAAAATTATTCAGATCATACACAATATGTGATCCATCTGCTCGATACGATAAACAACCACCATAAATGCATAATAATGTATACTAAAGATTAATTGAGACGAGTGGTTGGATATCATCTGTCTGCCTGTCTGTTTTCGACATGGAACTTTGCGCATATGTGCGGCAGTTCAAGTCGCCACACTCCATGTAGCACACAATGCAAGAGAAGAAAGTAGAAGAAATGCATAATAGAGACAGTAAACAGAGGTGTGAGACAAAGTAATAGTAATAATGAAGAACAAAACAGTTTCATTGGAAATCATAAGTCACAAGGAGTGGATGCATCTGCGCCAATCAGCCATTGAGAACGATTTTGAGCCATGTCACCAATTGTTTCCAACCACTGGTTTTCACCGTCCTGAGGACCCCAACCAGTCAGAAAGTCTACATCTTCCTACGTGGCTGGCTTAGACTAACTGTTGTAGATTTCATTGACTGGTGAAGCCATGTTTTGGTTTGACCTCCGCTAGCTCTTTTCCAGCTTGACCCTATGTCAGTCATCCAATATTGCCCGTCGAGGAAGGCGATGACTAGGCATCCGTAACACATGTCCTAACCATCTCAGTCTATGTAACTTCACAACCTCGTCGACTGATTTCCCCTCCAACTTACCTAGCACTTGACGCCTAACCTCAATATTGCTCACTTTATTATACCACTTCAAACGGGAGATAGAGAGCAGGCACCTATGGTCAAAAACAGCTAATCTATTCACGTCTTCCACTCTCAATGGCCAGGTCTCATAGACATAAAGGAGGACGAAGTAGATTGCTGAGCAGTACACCCGCCCTTTGTCGACAGCCGCATATCACGTCTACGCCAGAGACGGCGTAAACTGGCAAATGCGAAGCTAGCCCTCTGTATCCGTGCGGAGATTTCGTCAGAGATCAACCCGTTGGGGTTGATCTGTTTCAGTGTACCTGGAGTTTAACTCAACTCAAAAAGCTGAATCACTCCAAATCACCAGAATTCCGGGTTAGCTACTATTTGAGAGAACTGGCAATAAGTTAAACCAAATGCGTAATTTGTAAATCAATTTGCGAATTGAAATTTACACTGGTTTACTCAACACTACAGAAATTTAATCATATACATACCTATAAGCTTCAGTAAACAAGATGATCAAAGTAAAGTAGTAAAACTAAGAGTAATTATGTGATGAAAAAGCTTCAATATTAACGCGTATTTTATCTAAAAAAGCCAACAGAGATGTTAAATGCAATACGAGTGGATTGAAGAAAGAACTACTTGTTAATCTTCGATAGCACAGAAACTCGTATCCTTTCTTCGAAATCCGAATTTGAGCTATTCACTGCTGAAGTCAGAAACTATCATCAACAAACTACTTTATGTTATAGCTTCATCCTGTCCACTGGTACTGGATGATAAATTAGCAAAAAATAATTTAGTCATCTAGTTCAATGCACAGAATGAACGTGATAATGCTATACCATCGATTGATTTCAAATGAACACTAAATGGACAGGACTGCTACACAAGCATTCATCAAAGTAGTTAGTATACTAAATTTCAGAATGAGTCGAGGATCTGAGATTAGCATAATAAGATACGCGCGACTGTTATATTCCTTTACGTTCCCAATGCAGTGCAAGGCTTCAAGCTGGAACTTTGAAGTTCCGGTAGCGATGGTATTTATTTATACGGGATGGGGTTGCTAGCCTCATGCCCAATCTTCCCTCTTTACCAGTCTTATTACTAGTCTAGCGAAGTAAAGGAGTGCATCGGCTAGGGATCGAACCCCGAACCACCTGCATGGTTGAAGAGCACACTACCGCTGTGCCACCAATGCACTACACGTGACTAGATAACGTATTTCTTAGGTTATAAACACAGTGAATCTATACATCGCTAACCATTTGTTTTTACAAAGTCATAATAATTTTTTATTATACCTCGTGAAAAATGGCCTGTTGTAAATTTAGTTTCACCATTCCTGAAGGATCTTCAGCATACCAATCACCTTCACGAAGTTGACTGATTAAAGCTAATACAACAACTGAGTCAATTCTAGATCCAGCTGCTAGTAAGTATTCAATCGGTCGAAGACGATAATTTGCGTTGGATGATCCTTCCAGAGAGGATGTTTTTGAGAATACCTGATGTCGTAGCATTCTCTGATATATAACCTGTATAGAGAAAGTAAAGAATAAAACAGAGTAGTGAGGAATTATTGAATAACAACATAGTAGTATGTAGAATATTAATAAACAGAAAGTACCAAGTAAGTTATTACTCAATGCAAGCCCAAATTATGAGAATCTTCAAGGTGGCAAGTACCTACCTCACATTACCTCCCACCTATCTACTGATAAGCTTCAAAAATCAACAATTACCCATTCACTACTTTTATTTTATTTATTTATTTTATTTAAACGCATAAAAACTTGGTACAATATGGCACCAAGAAGGATGCGCCACACAATAATAATAAAACACAGATCAAAAGAGAAATATATATATATAAGTAGACAACGGATAAAGAACTTCATCTGGAAGGAAAACAGTCATCCTTAACAAGTTCAAACAGTATTGGCTAACAATCATCGGGAAGGGAAGAAAGAAGGAAATTGCAACACGTGTTATAGCACGCGATAAGTTTCATTGATTGTCTGTTGCATTATTCAATTCATTGTGTGAGGGCTGAGATACTGCCCGGGCGCCCGCACCGAAGCAGGTGGTTTTACTAAGGGACCACCCCCGAACCTTTGATTTGGAGTCTAATCCGCAAGGCAGCGGAGCAGCGTCAGGAGCTGCATTCCTACGGTTTCCGGTGACCCATATGGGTTCATACGCCATTTGATCCGATTGGATACTGGAGCCCATGTACCCCATGGTAACTGCTCTTAGTTTAACCGCTATCCAAACAATCTTCCTGACATGGTAGGACCTCCAGGGACAGAGTCCCAGTCAGTTTAGCATGTTGAGTCATTACGGTATTCAAGCCCGACCACCACGATAAGGTAGCAGTTATCGGCCGGGATTCACTACTTTAGGAACAATTACTTACCCCTGTGTGAAAATAGTGAATAGGACCAACCTATCAAAGGACATGAAACCATAGCTGCATTAAGCATTTTGGGGAAAAGACTAAAGTCTACCCAGCTTCGGCCATATTGACTTATTAAGAGGATTTGAACTCGACGTCCAGTAGACAGATAGTGGTAATCGTCTGAAAGAAAGCTGAGGATGACCAAATCAAGATGTTATTAATTTGGGTAGTCACTGAGATTTGGTCTGTGCTTTGTATAAAAGTAAATTGGACAAAACGAACTTATACTTAGAGACTAGGTGACATGAATCAGGATTCATAACAGCAGTGTAAATAAATCCACATCTTAATTTTAAGATTACACTTATGTATTTGCTTCATTTCAGTTTCTTTCGTTTAGTAGAATCCTAAGACCTTTCACTTTATTCCCATTTCTTTCCTCATCCCTGTTTACACTTTTTGAACTCTAAGTTAAGTCACAGACAGGAAAAAATTGATGACCTTAGACTTCATTACTTATTCTGGTCATACTTCGCCTTACTGCAGCCTCATTCCGATCTAAAGTACACCGCTCATCGAGAAATGTGGTAGTTTGACAAGTGCAGCACTTTGTTATCATCAAGTATCTTTCATCAATTACTCCTTTTTCTTTACTAATATCAGTTATTATAAGCTATCCTGATGAAAACAACCCACCTAAGTACTGATTGGGAACGGATTTATGTAACTATGGAAAGAATGGCAGCGCACCATGAAACTTTCTGCGAAAGTCGATTATTTTGATCCACTATAATTTGAAATATCACAAAAAAGAATAGAACGGAAATAAAATGATGCTAAAAATAGCAAGTATAAGCCTGTATTTAAAAAATATAATGAAGCAAAGACCATTGACCGTCACAGTCTTGAAGACGAACATGAGTAAATAAGTAAGCACTGGTGGAAATAACTTTAGGTTATCCGGGAGAGCCTCAAAACCAGTATATATAAAGGCAAGATTTTTACAGTTTTAACAGTGTATGGTTTACGAGATTCTACTACACCAGAAACTGATAAATCAAATAAAAATGCAAATTTAGTGTGTAGTAAGAACACGTTAGCTAAATGCCCAGATAATTGTTTACTAATGTTAAATGTTGCTCAGAATCAGATGCAGAAACATTTGCTATCTTAGTTTAGGCATCCTAAGTAAACACACCACCCAACGGGGTCCCTATTGCAGAATTGTATGCCTTAAGTAATGTATTTCATTTTACAAAACCAATCGATGGAACTCCAAGAAAAACTTAAAATGGCTCTTGTTCGAATCTTTCTACGGTTTACGTTTATACATCTACTTCATTGGTTACTCTTTACGAAAATGTTCATCCGGCTATCTGAGCTAATCTCCCCAACGATAAAAGACTTTTGCAGACGAACATTAATTATTCATATTTATTAAAACATAAAATTAGTACATTATGTGAGCCAACAGATATTCCACAGTGTCATAGTTCCCACGAGTGCTGGGATACTGCCAGGACGCCAAGACCGAAGCAGGTATTTATCTGAAGAGGCCACCCCGTCCCAAGTCTTTGTCTTGAAGCAAGATCCAAAGTGGACCAGTAACCCCATGGTTTCCGATGACCGAAACAGGTACATACACCACTCAGTTCGGATTCTGGACCCCATGTACACCATAGGATTGTAATCAAGGTTTTCTAGGTAGGCTTGGGTGTCCACAAGTTCGGTTTTAAGCGCCAGACGTTCAAATTCACCTTTTTACTTTTGTGAGGAGCACCTGCGACGCTTGAATACGGTCAATTGAACTTACCTCAAAGAGGCTACGAACGCTGGTTACATGAGAGAATTTCGAGAGGGAGACCAAAGTTTATCTACCCTTGGGTGTATCATGACTGCGTTCAGACAATATACCGAGAGAACTGGTTAAGATGGAGAATGACATAACTATTATATCAAAGCAGTCCTCATAAAAAAACTACCTACACAATATTTAGATCCGTAATAAACACAATACATCAAGTTGATTGGAAGGGGAAATCTATCGACTGACTGTTACATGCATACAGACTTTTAAAGATACCAAGTTTATAAATGAATTACCCAACATGTAAGAAAACGAAGGGATTCAGAAATATGAATTTCTATTAATATAACGGGTTTCACCAACCCTGATAAGTAAAAATTTGAAACCTGCAGACAATGCAACTTTTTGGCATGCTATAGAAACAGATACATCCTACATTTGGCAGGATTAGTAGCCGTTTAAATAAATATTGCCCTGACAGAGCAAAAATAATAGTTTAATTAGTTTAATAACTCAAAATAAGATATATTAGTATCATCCCAAAAGTCTTACTAATAACAAAGTTCGTTTGCACTTTTAATACTTGACTTTTCACAAAAAAGTGTCGAGCTTCGATTATTGCTTATTCGAAATACGTAAAAATACCATAACTGAAATTATCGTATGCAATGGGGGATTGGTAATAAACTTTGACGAAGTTCGGTCTGCTGTTTATTCTATCCTCAGAATTTCTCATTCTATGGGAGATTTTTGTCCATACGTCAGTAATAAGGGTAGTAATCATAACGTCAAATTCCCCCCCATTATAACATAAGTAGTCCTGCAATTACATAAGTTCTACATTGCCAATAACTGATTCGAGAGTAGTTGCAGCAGGAAATGCTAAATAAGTAGAGCAACTTATAACGCGTACAAAATTGGACAAGACACAACGTAGTCATAAGCCTTCGGCTCTTTCACACTAGTGTTTAGTTCTAGGAGAAAAAGTTACAAACGTTTCTCGAATATCAAAATGTAGTCATTTGTTTCTAACCAAATCGTTACGCCTCTTGTCTATTGTACGGAAGTACTTAAATGCACCCAATAATCTTGAGGGACGTTAAGTGTCCGTTCTGCTATGTTATCCAAAGGCAGAGAGTATATTCTGACTGACATTACGTACAGAATTTTGGTAAATATCATGAGAAAGTATTCTTCGCTAGATCATCCATGCTGACGCTGTGCGCTCCAGACGATATCAATAATAAGTATTAACTATGATAACGACATACTAATAACAATTCCAAGAAGACAAACGGGGAATACAAATAGAATCTGAAATACTTTCATGTCTCTATATTCTCCCAGCTAGCATTTCCTTCGGGCGTACTGCAGAGTCTTCGGGGTAAATCTTCGGACGTATTGCAGAACGTCGAACAATTACCTGCAATCTGACCCAAAGATTCTGAAGTGCACCCGAAGTCAATGCTAGCTGGGCTGTTTAAACACATTAAATCATGTCTCCAGTCCAATCCAACTTTCAGCGTATACATAGTGCTATGAAAAACTCCAGATTTACAAGACTACTTTAAATACTTTACATACAATTCGATATACAGACAAAGAAATAAAACAAGAAAAACGAAAACAAACACCCAAAATACCTCGTAGCGGTGTGAATATAAAAATGCCTTCGCATCTGCTGTCACCGGAAATAGCAAACGCTCATGCGCCGCACTTTCAGGAACAAAAGGAACGAACTTATTCAAAGTCTTTGAATGACGGAAATAAGGCACCTTCAGGAATGTGGAAGAATTTAGATTGGATCTTACCGTAAAAGCATCAACAACATACAAAACGGTGTTGTCCGTGCAGTGGTCCGCACGGCACTCTTTGACAGCTGCTTCACACAGTACTTTTGATATTTTGTTGTTTTCGATTTTTTGCTTCAGAATAGTATCAACTAGCTTCCGTAGGACTTTCTGACGTTTTGCTGGCTCAACGCGCTGAACAATGGACAATAAGTACTGAGAGGCATCTGGCGCAAGAAAAAGTCCATTAAGTTTGAAAGGCCTATCCACATCAGACTTCGAAACTTCCTACGAAATCTACAATAATACACAAAACAAACCATTCCACTTAAAATCCCGCGGAAGTGAAATGTCAAAAGTAGCACATGACTGAATAATATGCTAAGACAAAGTAAACAAACAAAAGCAGTTTTATTTGGATTTCGTGAGAACATCTCCACTAACTGCAACTTTTCTGTCCTCTTTAAAACGTTAAAGGAACAGAAAATTCCATTTAATAAATGACAAATAGAGCTTCTGCCTCTAATATCAACCGATCCGCTCAGCCTTTTGCCAGCAGGCGTTTCCATGGGCCAAACGCAGATCCGTGAGACATCTTCTGTATGTCTTGCCTTTCCTGGGATTTACCAAACCACTTCTGAGATAAATATCAGCGACATATTTCACAATAATTTTATCTGAACGCCATTCCATTCTATTATTATTGTTTCCTATAGTTCCTTTAGGCACATGTCTCCCTTGCGTTCGGTTCTGTGCCAACTATTCCACCCGGCTGCACGTCTTCTCACATTCTTTCATCTCCTCTTCACATGACTTCCTCCAAGTCACCCTTGCACTGACGACCAACTCGCAGCTTCTTTGTCAGATTCCACTCGAGGGTCTGTCTTGTGATGTCACTTGATGGTTTTCTCAGAGCATCGCCAATCCATCTCCATTTCTTCCTGCTTTTTGTTGCATAAATGGTTCCTGGTTGGTTCGCTTCCAGAGATCTCTGTTGCTGACCTTTTCTGGCCATCTGATCTTGAGTATTGAGCGAAGACAGCTGTTGATATATCATATATTATTATATTACACATATACATTATATCATATGTTATATTCTGACATACCTTAAATGTTCGAGCTCTTGAAGAAGTTAGTACTCACAGCTTTCATTCATATTCCTTGACCCCTTAAAGTCGGTTAGGACAAAAAACATCCACCTTGTGTGAAGAAAGCTACACCTTTATCTGAATACCAATAGTTTTCATAGCCAGGCCAATAATAATACTTTATATTTTGTATAAATTTGTAAGTTTACAAGAAATGCATGCCGTTTTACAGTCACGATCAGTTATGTTATAAATTACAATCCTGAAGTATCATAAATTAATACTTTCTCAAAAGTGTTAACTGTTAGACTATTCTACCATCAATCAGAACAGATTCGTAAAGATGTTAAATTGTAAACCCTTCAATAAGGTCACCATCAAAGCTGAGCGGCAACCCTAACTTTTTTTGCTTCCCGTCGACATTTATGGTCAAGCAGTGAACAGCGTATATTTGGGTGAGTGCCACGATGCCACGCGGTTCACTGTCGCGGTTGTGAGGGTGACAGACACAACCTAATAACAGGGTTTACTGTTTACTTATCTAGAGTGTCACCTATAATGTATCGTATACATTCAGGTTCAGTCTTCCACTACACTGACAGAAGCCATTCTTTTGATCGGCGTTTTGTCACCAGCTAACTTAATCCTATGGTAGCGCGTATTTTTCAATAGTGTTTGCCTACAGTAAAAACGTCAGCATTAGAGAACGAGTCCACTTCGACACAAGTGGACTAAACTCGATTTTCTGAGACTTTCTTGGTTGATGGCAGCTGCTCGAGGCATTACTCATAGCGCATGCATTTAGAAGAGTGCTTCTGACCCTGTTGATCTGTGCATTATACAGCATATTATACACAATTATAAAAATAATGTATATTTTCATATGAACATATAAATTTACACTAAAATGCATGCCATTTTTACAGGCACGATCAAGTATGATATAATATCAAATCGTAGATTGTCTACAAGTTAATAATATTTCAACAGCTAAATATTTGATATATATATATATACTCATTGTCTGAACCAGGCCGCATAGTCGCTGAATTGTACAGTTATCCTCCAGGTTGAGCGGGAAAATCGACTTCGCTTCGTTTTAAACCCGTGGTTGTAGGCATACGATAACCAACCAATATTGAGGTAAGTACAACGTTTACATGGGATTGAAAGCTGTTTTAGAAAAGTCAAAGTGCCAAGGTGAATCAATGAAATAAGTAAGTACAATGTATCATTAATATGTGCATTCATAAAAGTAATACAATGGGAAACTAAACAATCCCTAGACTGACAACGTTCATTTGCAATGTATAATGCTACCCATATGGGTCTTACTATCATGATGTCCACTTTTGGCTTTAATACAATTATCCTCAAGCCGGTTGTTTTTATTTCATACTTTTTCGTGTATTTGATGCACAACCGTACCCTACAGAGAATAGGAATAGAATAAGTCAAATCGAATCCAGAAAGAGTTATAAAATGTAAGGTTTAATGGAATATAATGAGGATCACGTAAAGACCGTATTAGAAAATGAATGAGATGAGACATTGTGAAGTGGTATTTAAAGATCTGACAGTGGGTAGCAAGTTAATTTATAATATGCCCCATAAATCTGTGCAGAGCCCACGTGGTCGCATCTCAACAATAGGCTGAGCGAATGATATATATTTAAAGGTAGAAGCATGATCCGTCTAGGCGTTCATTATTATCTTTTTCAAGATATAGATTTAAACCCTCATAAAAATCTCTAGCCGTCAAATTGCATATTGCTGTTCCTGCAGAATGGGGCGATTCACCTTAGTGACCACCAGCATATCCACTGATCGGCCAGCACCACCTTCCCTCCTTCATTATTATTATGCTTTTCTCGTGCACCACACGTTGACATACTTCAGTTAGAACGTGGCTCATCAGGTTTGAGGTTTGTGATAACGTCCAAGGTGAAGTAGTTCTACTGCCAACCTGACTAAGTGGTGTCAATTTTGATATCATTCCTTCGAGCAACATGATAATGGAAAATGATGCTTCGATTTTATCTGCACAGAAGGCAAGAACTTACAGTGCTGTATAGCTCTTGAAGCAACTTCAGTGCAATACTTCAACAAATACATCAACTTCATTTCATCATTTACTGCAAGCTCAGACAACATGACTTCAAACTCCTTTACGAACTGTAAATAGTCAGCTAGGTTTCCGTCGGAACACCGAGGTTCAAATTTAGGCCTATTATCCCCAGACTGCGAAACATGAACAACAGACTCATCATACTGAGCATCAACAAGCGAAAGTAAAATTCTCGTGGGATGTATATACAGACCCCCCAATAGCCCTGAAATGGCTGATATAACTATTGCAGAAATACTAGAGCATGTAGCCACGCTGGACTTCGACTACAAAGTAGTATGTGGAGATTTCAACTTACCTGGAGTAAACTGGGATACCTGTACAGGACCTAGAATCCATGAAGAGCTACTACAAGCTATAGACATAGGAGGATGGAAGCAGTGCGTACGCCTCCCTACAAGGAACCAAAATACTCTTGACTTAATCCTCTGTCATAACATAGAGCCCATCTCGATAGAGGTGGGAAATAAACTCGATAACAGTGATCACAACATATTGTACTGCACGCTACCCCTCCGACTAACAACTAAATACACACCTAAAAATTCCCCGGTGCGCTATCAATATAGGGACTATAAGAATGCTGATTGGGAATTCCTATCAGATCTGTTGAGAAGTTCTGACTGGGAAGAATACTTCATCAACAATAACTTAGAAGTATCACTTGAGATTTTCTACAAAACAGTTGGCTCAGCAAGAGACACAATCGCGCCCCTAAAATCTGCCCTAAAGACACCAACTCCATTTATTGACCGGAAAACGCGACTAAAACTAAAGAAATTGAAAAGGAAATACCATGTATTTAAGGAATTTAATGCGTTAAACCAAATACATGAAACTCTTAAACTGCTTGAAGAGAAACACAAAATGAAGTCACAACATGAGGAAAATAAAGCGCTAATGGGTAACACCAAAACTCAGGAACTTTGTAGGATATTGCAAAAACGTCTAAAAAGCAGTAAAGACAATAATGTAAGCATCTTGGAACATAGGGGTGTAATATACAACGATCCCCAGGTTATAAGTGAACTCCTCAGTGAGTGGTTTTGCAATGACACCAGAGTGCACCCGACCCCAAATTTCCAAATGACCTGCAAAAGTAACCACAAATTAGGAGAAATAGATTTTAATATACAAAATATAGACTCAGCGATTAAGACATTGAAGTCAAATGGCAGTACTGGAACAGACGACATACCATCTGTCATATACAAAAATGGTAGCACGGAAATGGTAGTCTTGTTACTTAGAATATTTACTCTGTCACTGGAAACTGGAACTTATCCTGAAGTGTGGAAAACCACATACATATTACCTAAGCACAAAGCAGGGGCCAAAACCAGTGCATGCAACTATAGACCTATTAATATAACACCGGTAATATCACGAATAATGGAGAAAGTGGTTAAAGACCAAGTGTCAGACAACTTACTAGAACATGAACTTATCAACCCATCACAACACGGATTCCTCAAAAAGAGATCATGTGCGACCTGTCACATAGACTTTTTCAATGAAGTTACACGAAGCAGGGACAACAGAGAACTAGTAATTGTGCTATATTTCGATATAACAAAAGCCTTCGATAGAGTCCCCCATAATCTGCTAGTCAGCAGGTTATGCTCACTAGGGATATGTGACCCTCTCCTGAGCTGGATAAAATCATTTCTCTGTGACAGAAGTCAGATAACAAAAGTTGGCTCGATAATCTCAAGGCCTAAACCTGTAAGTAGTGGTGTAATCCAGGGAAGTGTATTAGGCCCACTCCTATTCATAATATATATAAACAGTATCTGTGAATGCTTTAGTGTTGGTAAACCAATACTATATGCAGATGACTTAAAAGTGACCTATAAATGCAAGAACACAGATCTCGGAATAACAGTAAACGCCATACAGCAAGAATTAGAAAAAATGGATAGATGGTGTGACACCTGGCAACTCCAGTTTAATGTCGACAAATGTGGCTGGCTCTGCATAGGTTGCAACAATTTAGAACTTGACCTGACAATTCAAGGCCATGCACTCTTACGACTGGAATCTGTATTGGACCTAGGACTGAAATACTCACATGACTTATCATTTTCTGAACATATCTCCAAATGAGTGTCAAAGTCACGCAGACTTATCGGCTTTCTACTCAGGAACTTTTAC